TCTACTAGGACTCCGAGGTCCCTCTCACAGTTACTACTATTGAGCATGGTGCCACCTATGCTATACTTGTGCATTTGATTTTTCTTGCCTAAATGTAGAACCTTGCTTTTTTCACCATTGAATTTCATTTTGTTAGATAGCGCCCAGGGTTCAAGTCTGTCCAAATCCTCCTGTATCCTAAGCCTGTAACTTCTGCAGTGTTGGCTATTCCTGCCAGCTTGGTGTCATCTGCACATTTGATGAGTTCCCCATCTATCCCCTCGTCCAAATCGTTGATGAATATGTTGAAGAGCACTAGGCCCAGAACAGAGCCCTGGCGCACCCCACTACACACGTCCCTCCATGTAGATGCGGTTCCATTGAGGACCACTCGCTGAGTACGGCCGGTCAGCCAGCTACGGATCCGTCTGGTGGTGGTTCTGTCTACCCCACATTTTTCTATCTTCTCAAGTAGTAGGTTGTGATCTACTTTATCAAATGCTTTACTGAAGTCCGAGTAAATTATGTCTACAGCATTCTTCTGATCCACTAATTTTGTCACTTGGTCAAAGAACGCAATAAGATTTGTCTGGGACGATCTGTTTTTGACAAACCCATGTTGGCTTTTAGTAATGACTTCGTTTGCCTCTAGGTGTTTGTTGATTCGTTGTTTGATTATCTTTTCCAGGATCTTCCCAGGTATTGAGGTCAGGTTGTGTCCTTGTGCACAACGGAGGCGGCCCGGCTGAAACGTTGCGGGTCCTTTTGCATTGCCCATCTAGGCTGGGCTCAGCTGAGCGCCAGTTAACCAGGATCGACTCTTTCCTTGTTCGCGGAGAGTCAACCCAGACTTAAAAGAGGATAATTGCTACTTTCTGGACCAGCAACTTGTAAATGCAGTTGGCAAATTTGTGCGAACGAGACCACTAGGCGGCACATCCATGCGGAAACGTCGACCCAGTCAAAAAGGTTGGGGCTGTCACACAGTTGTGGCCACCCTCTTGACTTGGGTGGATTCTTTTCCTGGCAGACAGGGAATCCTCGACTTACGACGGCAAGCGAGCCCAAAATTTCCGTCGCTAAGTGAGACAGTTATCAAGTGTGTTTTGCCCCATTTTACCACGAGTCAGTTGTCCAGCATCCAAATTTTGATCACATGTCCCCGGGATGTTGCGACCGTCGTAAATACGAGTCAGTTCCCAGCGTCTGAATTTTTATCACATGACCCCAGGATGCTGTGACCGTCATAAATATGAGTCAGTTGCCCAGCATCCGAATTTTGATCATGTGTCCCCGGTACGTTGCAACCGTTGTAAATACGAGTCAGTTGCCCAGTGTCCGAATTTTGATCACGTGTCCCCGGTACGTTGCAACCGTTGTAAATACGAGTCAGTTGCCCAGCGTCCAAATTTTGATCACGTGTCCCCAGTACGTTGCAACCGTTGTAAATACGAGTCAGTTGCCCAGCGTCCGAATTTTGATCACGTGTCCCCGGTACGTTGCAACCGTTGTAAATACGAGTCAGTTGCCCAGCGTCCGAATTTTGATCACGTGTCCCCGGTACGTTGCAACCATTGTAAATACGAGTCAGTTGCCCAGCGTCCGAATTTTGATCACGTGTCCCCGGTACGTTGCAACCGTTGTAAATACGAGTCAGTTGCCCAGCGTCCGAATTTTGATCACGTGTCCCCGGTACGTTGCAACCGTTGTAAATACGAGTCAGTTGCCCAGCGTCCGAATTTTGATCACGTGTCCCCGGTACGTTGCAACCGTTGTAAATACGAGTCAGTTGCCCAGCGTCCGAATTTTGATCACGTGTCCCCGGTACGTTGCAACCGTTGTAAATACAGTTGCCCAGCGTCCGAATTTTGATCACGTGTCCCCGCGTTGCAACCGTTGTAAATACGAGTCAGTTGCCCAGCGTCCGAATTTTGATCACGTGTCCCCGGTACGTTGCAACCGTTGTAAATACGAGTCAGTTGCCCAGCGTCCGAATTTTGATCACGTGTCCCCGGTACGTTGCAACCGTTGTAAATACGAGTCAGTTGCCCAGCGTCCGAATTTTGATCACGTGTCCCCGGTACGTTGCAACCGTTGTAAATACGAGTCAGTTGCCCAGCGTCCGAATTTTGATCACGTGTCCCCGGTACGTTGCAACCGTTGTAAATACGAGTCAGTTGCCCAGTGTCCGAATTTTGATCACTTGTCCCAGGGTCACGTGATCAAAATTCAGATGCTTGGCAACTGACTCGTATTTATGACGGTCGCAGTGTGACTCGCACAATCTCCTCACGCACACACCCACAATCTCTTTGGCAAGAGATTTTTGCCCTCGTTCTGCTCCCCACGGCTCCGTGCAATGGTGCTCCGCAACAATTCTGGGCACGGTTGTGTGTGGCTGGGATGCACACCCCTGTGTGTATCTTTGTGTGTGTGTGGGTGTGTGTGTGTGTGTGTGTGTGCACGTACAAAGCAGAGAGAGAGAGAGAGGAGCTCCTGCAGCTGAGGAAGACCTGCTGGGTAGGAAGCGAAGTGTGATATTGCAACGGGCCGAACAAGCCGAGACACAACCCGGGGCGAGGGGGAAAGGAGAGTCACACAAGTGAGAAGACACAACTTGGAAATTGCCAAACAATGACCGCCTGCCTTGGTAAGCCCCCTCCCACCTCAGAGAGACCCCCGGCTGCCTTACTCCATTTACTCCTGTAGTAAAAGGCCCCCACCTCGGATGTGATCCACTTAAGAGCAGTTTTGTTTAGCAACTTTCTGAAAAAGGAATCTACTGGGGCTCGAGGATCTGATCATGTGCAGAGTGCAGTTTGCTCTCTCCCTCCTCCCGCGATCGGTCAAGCGGGGTCCCAGGTGGTTAAGATCTATAAAAGAGAATTTTTTGTAGCTCAGGGCTGAAATGAGGGGTGGTCCCTGATGGGTCTGAGCTCTTGCAGACATCTTGTGACCCAACTAGGGAACATCATCAGTGCTAGAGGAGGAGGAGGGAGGAGGAGAAGAAGAAGAAATGTGGTGTTCTGGGTGTTCTCTGAGCTGGGTGGTTTTCTTGAAGACATTTCATGACCCAACTAGGGAACATCATCAGTGCTAGAAGAGGAGGAGGAGGAGGACTGTGGAGTTCTTGCTGCTTTCTGAGTTTGGTGGTTTTCTTGCAGACGTTTCACGACCCAACTAGGGAACATCATCAGTGCTAGAAGAGGAGGAGGAGGAGGAGGACTGTGGGGTCCTGGGTGCTCTCGGAGCTGGGTGGGTTTCTTGCAGATGTTTCATGACCCAACTAGGGAACATCATCAGTGCTAGAAGGGAGAGGGATGTGCAGAAAGGAGGAGGAGAAGAGAAAGAGAAAGAGAAAGAGAAAGAAAAGAAAGGAAAGAAAGAAAGAAAGAAAGAAAGAAAGAAAGAAAGAAAGAAAGAAAAAGAAAGAAAGAAAGAAAGAAAGAAAGAAAGAAAGAAAGAAAGAAAGAAAGAAAGAAAGAAAGAAAGGACTGTGGGATCCTTGGTTCTGTCTGAGTTTGGGGGTTTTCTTGCAGACGTTTCATGACCCAACTAGGGAACATCATCAATGTAATTGGGAGGAGGAGGACGACGATGACGACTGTGGGGTCCTTGGTGCTCTCTGAGCTGGGTGGGTTTCTTGCAGATGTTTCATGACCCAACTAGGGAACATCATCAGTGCAAGAGGAAGGAGGAAGAGGAGGAGGAGGAGGAGAGAAAGGAAGAGAAAGAAAAGGAAAGAAGAAAGAAAGAAAGAAAGAAAGAAAGAAAGAAAGAAAGAAAGAAAGAAAGAAAGAAAGAGGACTGTGGGATCCTTGGTGCTGTCTGAGTTTGGTGGTTTTCTTGCAGACGTTTCATGACCCAACTAGGGAACATCATCAGTTCTAGAAGGGAGAGGGGATTTGCACACTGGAAGGGAGGAGGAGGAGGAGACAGAAAAAGATTGTGGGCTGCTTGGTCCTCTCCAAGTTGCACTGATGCTTCCCACAACCAGCTTAACCCCCTTCCTGAAATAAGCCATCTTCTCCCTTCACACAACCCTCCAGACCAGCTTTTGGCTGAGTCTCCTGCAGCTAAGACCCTCCCTCCCAAAAAACACACCCCTCCTCCCTTCTCCAGGGGCCCCTCCCAGTTGGGGACCCCCCAGGAGCTGCCCAGGCCTCTGGCTGCCAAAGCCTCGGAGGGGCAAGAGAAACCCTAATTGGGGGGGGGTCCCCAGCCAGGTCAGACCCTTCCCAGCTTTTGGCTTTGTCCGTGAAAAGCAGGCCGCCTTCAATCGGAGGCTTTGGCACCGCCAGACCCTCATTCTCGGTTTACCAGGTTGCCAGGCAACTGACTCTGCAAGCAAGCCTTCAATTGGGGGGGGATTAGCCAGGAAGGGAGGGAGGGGGCTCCGGAGAAGACCCGGAGCCGAATTCTGCTCAGGCAGATTAGGAGGCCAGGCCGTATTCCAGATGTTCTCCCCAGGGGTTTTGCGGGATGAAAGATGCGGGCATTTGCCTACATCACAACTGGCAAAGCACATTGTGAAAAGGGAGGAGGGGGGGGCGTCTGATTTTCGCACTCGGCTCCCTTTCGGTCTCTGTCATGCTTGGAAGAGTGCCAAGAGACCCCCGTCTGGGCACCAGACTTGACAGGCTGGGGTCGTCCTTTTTCACACGAACCAGCAGATGCCTTTCAAGGGGTCAGATAAAGATGCAACGTCGCCCATTTTCACGGCATGTAAACCTGGTTAGTTGTAACCGCAGTCAGGCGGTGGAGTTGTGCCTTAGCCATAAAAGCCGGCTGAGGGATTTGGGGTCAATTACCAGGAGACGGTGAGTTCTAGTCCTGCCTTAGACATAAAGGCCGACTGGGTGACTTTGGGCCAATCAGCAGGAGACGGCGAGTTCTAATCCTGCCTTAGACATAAAAGCCAGCTAAGTGTCTTTGGGCCAATCACCAGGAGACTGGGAGTTCTAGTCCCGCCTTAGGCATGAAAGCCAGCTGGGGGACTTTAGCCAATCCTCCTCTCGCTCAGTCCAACCCACCCCACAGGATTGTTGTTCGCCTTCTTGCGTTCTGTAGAAATAATAAAAGCGGGATACAAATAAATTAATAATTAAAAAAAAAAACTTCCCCATTTATTGAGACTTGTTGAGTTTGGTGAGAAAGACTTGAAGCAATACGGATCCTTTGGAAGAAACTTTTTACAAAATCTTTCATGAGGAGATGGAAGCCCCCTGTTTTTTCCCTGTGAAAATAAGTATCGGGAAGAAGGAATTTGGGCCTAAATCCGGAAAAACCCGTCTTGAGCTTTCTCCAAAGTCTGTCGGTTGGGCAAAGCCGAGAAAAACACGGATATCCCAGAGAAGCGAGGAATTCGGGGGAAAGAAACCCGTGAGGAAAAAAAAAAATCCAGTATCCTCGCTTGGTTCAAAAAGAGAAAGGAAAGAGGACCAAGAAGAAAGATCTGGGTGTCAACCGAGACCCCCTCAGGGTTTTCTCCTGCGTGAAATGCCCCTCTGCCGTTGTGTCTGTTGTTGAGACACTTGTGTCTCTTGTTGTCTCTTCAGAACAATCTCTCGCGTCTGTGCGGACGGAGGCACACCGCGTCCGGGAGTTGTAGTTGTGCGCACCAGGTGCCGCGCGCGCAACCCGCCTGCCTGCCACGATTCTCGTTCGGCTCCTCGTGCCACAGAAGAGGCCGCGGCTAGGAAACGGCCCCCTCGGTTTGCGAGGCCAGAGTGCACCACCACAACCGGAGCGCGTTATCGCCCGGCGCCCGAACAGGGGCGAGCGGACGATCCCCTCCTTCTTCCGCCTCGTCCTCTCCGCTCTCCGGCAGGTCGGGAAAATGCCTCTGGCCCGAAGCGGTGGCCAGCAGAGGGAGGCTGGGATGGAGACTGAAAGAAAGAGGTGGGGGTGGGGGGATTAGGAAGAAGAAGAACCGGGGCTGGCTGGCGCACCCCCCTGGGAACCCCCAGGCTGCCACATCTGGAATGCCTGCCCTGCTCCGAGGGCCAAGGGTGACCCACAGCTGGAGAAGCTCTTGGAAAGAGGCGGATCCTGCATTGGAAGCAGCACTTAATAGCGCGAGGATGGGGAGTCTCTGTTAGCAATCTGGAGAGAGCTCAAGAGGCTTTCCTTTCGCAAGATCCAGTCTGGGTCGGTCACTGGGACCAGAACTTTTGGATGATGCTGGAGCCCGTCTTCTCTCCACTGGTGGATTTATTCCCTATTCCTGTTCCTATCCCCTATTCCATTCCATTCTTCATTTATTCTATTCTATTCTGTTCTGTTCTGTTCTGTTCTATTCTATTCTATTATTACTCAGTTCTATTCCTTATTTCTATTCTATTCTATTCTATTCTATTCTATTCTATTCTATTCTATTCTATTCTATTCTATTCTGTATTTTATTATTCTATTCCATTCTATTACATTCCATTCTATTCTTATTCTATTCTATTCCTTATTTCTATTCTATTCTGTATTTTATTATTCTATTTTATTCTATTCTGTATTCTATTCTATTCTTCTTTTTTATTATTCTGTTTTATTCCATTCCATTCCATATTTTCTATGGTATAGGTTTATATATATATGTTGTATATAGCATGTTTAAATGTGTGTTATGTATGTGTACACTTTTGAGAGCAAGCAACAAAATTTCATTTTTAATATGTGCCAATGTGCCCAAAGGAAAAAATGACAAAGGTTATCTATCTATTCCTATCCATCCATCCATCCATCCATCCATCCATCCTTCCATCTCTATGTCTGTCTGTCTGTCTATCTATCTATCATCAATCAATCACTGTCTGTCTGTCTGTCTATCTATCTCTCTCTCTCTCTACCTACCTACCTACACCTTCCTATCTATACCTACCTCCTACCTACCTACCTATCCATCCATCTCTCTCTTTCTATATCTACCTACCTACCTATACATACCTATCTATACTTACCTACCTATCCATATCTATCTATCCATATCTATCTATCTATCTATCTATCTATCTATCTATCTATCTATCTATCTATCTATCCACCCACCCACCCACCCATACCTATCTATCTATCTGTCTGTCTGTCTGTCTGTCTGTCTGTCTATCTATCTATCTATCTATCTATCTATCTATCTATCTATCTATCTATCTATCTATCCATCCATCCACCCACCCACACCTACCTACCTACCTACCTACCTACCTACCTACCTACCTACCTACCTACCTATCTATCTATCTATCTAGTGGCCCTAGGCAGCTTCCAAGAACCACTTTCCTTCTCCCATTTTCAGTCTCCAGCTGGACTTCGATTCCCAGAATCCCTAACTAAACAGCTAAGGATTCTGGGAGTCAAAATCCAAATGGTTAGGATAGGAGTCTTTCTGCTTAGTTGGGGCCAGCACCATCCAGCGGGGGGCAGAGGCACTCCGACACCCCAACGCACACCCTACAAGCTTTGGGTTTACTTTCACGGCCCCACAATCCCCTGTGGGAGCCCAGGCAGACCCTCACTTCCTCCATCCCAACCGCCCCCCCAAGCAGGATTCGTACCTGATGCCATTTACGCAGTCTCCCACAGCCTGGAACTGCAGGGCTGGTGGTAACACAGCTGGGGGGTCCCCGGGGGGAGGCTGGGTGGTGTCCCAGACCGTAACGAGGCCGTTGGTGTTCCCGCTCAGCAAATACCGCCCGCTCCTGTCGGGGGGGGGGGGAAGCACAAGAAACCTCGGTAAAATAGTCCTTGACTTACGGGCTGCAATGGAGCCAGAAAGCTCCGCTTTTAAGCGAGACCACCGTTCGGTGACTTTTGTTCCCGTTTTACGACCTTTCTTGCCACAGTTGTTAAGTGGGGTCGCTGCCGTTGTTAAGCTAGTCAGACTGTTGGGAAAGAAACATGGCTTCCTTGTTGCTCATCGGAAGGTCGCCAAATGGGATGGCGTGACACCCCCCCCCCCCGGGATAAGGCAACCGTCGTAAGTATGAGTCAATTGCCAAACGTCTGAATTTTGATCCCGTGAGCACGGGGATGCTGCTCCTCCTCCTCCCCCACTCCTCCTCCTCCTTTCACTCCACACACCCCATTCCCTTCTAGCACTGATGATGTTCCCTAGTTGGGTCATGAAACGTCTGCAAGGAAAGCACCCAGTTCAAAAAGCACCAAGGACCCCACAGTTTTCCTTCCTTCCTTCCTTCCTTCCTTCCTTCCTTCCAGCACTGATGATGTTCCCTAGTTGGGTCATGAAACGTCTGCAAGGAAACCACCAATTCAGAAAGCACCAAAGACCCCACAGTCTGTCTTCCTTCCTTCCTTCCTTCCTTCCTTCCTTCCTTCCTTCCTTCCTTCCTTCCTTCCTTCCCTCCCTCCCTCCCTCCCTCCCTCCCTCCCTCCCTCCTTCCTTCCAGCACTGATGATGTTCCCTAGTTGGGTCATGAAACATTTGCAAGGAAACAACCAATTCAGAGAGCACCAAGAATCCCACAGTCTTCCTTCCTTCCTTCCTTCCTTCCTTCCTTCCTTCCTTCCTTCCTTCCTTCCTTCCTTCCTTCCTTCCTTCCTTCCTTCCTTCCAGCACTGATGATGTTCCCTGGTTGGGTCATGAAACGTCCGCAAGAAAACCCACCCAGCTCAGAGAGCATCAAGGACCCTACAGTCATCCTCCTCCTCCTCCTCCTCCTCCCTGCAAACCCTTCTCCCTTCTAGCACTGATGGCGTTCCCTAGTTGGGTCATGAAACGTCTGCAAGGAAAACCACCCAACTCAGAGACCACCCAAGACCCCCAAGACGACAACCATCTCCAGGAAGGGCGCGCATCCCGACGGGTCACTTACGGATCCAGGTCGAAATACAGCCTCTGATTGGTGCCCACCGTGCGGGACAGCGAGAAGACAACTTCGCCCGGCTGCCGTAGGTCCCAGCAGAGAATCTCGGCATCCTGCCGGGGAAATCGCAAACGCTTACAAGGTGGAGAAGCGAGCTGGACTCCCTTCCCGCGTTCCTAGCCCGCCTTCCCGACGCTCCAGACAACCCGGAGCCAGGTTCAAGAGATGCGATAGCCGCCACGCCACCCTCGGTCCCACCACCCACCGCTGGGCCTTACCTTGCGGCCACCGGTGAAGAGATAAAGGCCGTCCGGGGAAAAGACGGCGTGGGTGACGCCGCCGCGATGCCCAATGAGCATCGCCAAGGGGTCTCCCTCCGCGCGGGAGTAGAGGCCGACGGTCTTGGCGTACGATGTGCAGGCGTAAAGGGGCTGCGTCGGGCTGAAGGCGATGCAGGAGATGATCCCACTTTGTCCTTGTTTCTTCACTGGGAAACATTTTTTTAAGGAAAATGTTATTGATTTTCCAGTTTTCCATTTGAAATATTTGAAAAGCAACGTGGCGGCTGAGTTGGTCCATAATTCAATAACGTACAAGTATCTTTTAATACAGATCACAAACTATGACACTGACTCTTTCCTCTCTTTTCCCCTGCCTTGGTATTTACTCTGTCGCGCTTTAATTAATACAATTCTTATGATATCGATTTAATAAACATAACGTTTCTTACATTTATCAATAATTTTGAGCTTAGGCATATCCCAGATATTTTAATATTCAATCTCTTTTAGACAATCAATGTCCTGGTTAGTTCCTCCCAATTTTTAGTTTCCCATTAATATTTAAATTGAATGTTTAATATTTATAATTCCCAAGTTTTAAATGAGGTCCAGTTCTATGAATCCAGGGGGTAGGCAACCTTGGCCCCTTTGATGACTCGTGGGCTTCAACTCCCAGAATTCCTCAACGAGCGTGCCTGGCTGAGGAATTCTGGGAGTTGAAGTCCACAGGTCATCAAAGGGCCAAGTTTGAAGGCCCCTGCTTGTGAACTTCAACTCCCAGAATTCCTCCGCCAGTGTGAGAGAACTATGGCCCCCTTTATGACTTGTGGATTTCAACTCCCAGAATTCCTCAGCCAGCGTGAGGGAACTATGACCCTTTTATGACTTGTGGACTTCAACTCCCAGAATTCCTCAGCCAGCGTGAGGGAACTATGACCCTTTTATGACTTGTGGACTTCAACTCCCAGAATTCCTCAGGCAGCGTGAGGGAACTATGACCCTTTTATGACTGGTGGACTTCAACTCCCAGAATTCCTCAGGCAGCGTGAGGGAACTATGGCCCCCTTTATGACTTGTGGACTTCAATTCCCAGAATTCCTCAGCCAGCGTGAGGGAACTATGGCCCTTTTAGGACTTGTGGACTTCAACTCCCAGAATTCCTCAGGCAGCGTGAGGGAACTATGACCCTTTTATGACTGGTGGACTTCAACTCCCAGAATTCCTCAGGCAGCGTGAGGGAACTATGACCCTTTTATGACTTGTGGACTTCAACTCCCAGAATTCCTCAGCCAGCGTGAGGGAACTATGACCCTTTTATGACTTGTGGACTTCAACTCCCAGAATTCCTCAGGCAGCGTGAGGGAACTATGACCCTTTTATGACTGGTGGACTTCAACTCCCAGAATTTCTCAGGCAGCGTGAGGGAACTATGGCCCCCTTTATGACTTGTGGACTTCAATTCCCAGAATTCCTCAGCCAGCGTGAGGGAACTATGGCCCTTTTAGGACTTGTGAACTTCAACTCCCAGAATTCCTCAGCCAGCGTGCCTGGCTGAGGAACTCTGGGGGTTGAAGTCCACAAGTCATCAAAGGGCCAAGTTTGATGACCCCTGCGACTTAAAGAATGCTGGCTGGGGAATTCTGGGAGTTGAAGTCCACAAGTCATCAAAGGGCCACGTTTGAAGACCCCTGGCTTAAAGGGACCGCGTCTTTAATGATTGCAGATTATTTTATATATACGGATTCTTCACAGGAGAGGAACTTTTAAAAAGGGACATGATCACGAGTCCCTCAACAGCTCAGGAATACAAAAGCCTTAAAACAACCCCTCTTCCCCTGTGACCCCACCCCAATTTACGTCCATCCTGAAGTGGGGTCCCACTGCTGTCGTTAAGGCAGCGATGGCTACATGGGTCAGTGGTCTTGATCAATTCCCCCCCCAAATTTTGAGATGCTTTCTCCTGGAGGTTGGCCCCATCTTGGTTCAGCTTTTGGTCTGATGCCAAGGCCTTTAATTCTCCCATGTCTTCACACATATATATATATTTAATTGGTTTATTTATTTGTGGGATTTCCATCCACTGCCACAGAAAAGAGACTTTTGGCAGTTGACAATTCTCCCATCAAGTGCGCAAAAAGGCAAAATAAATGGCAAGTTTTTCACACCTCACAGCTTTTCCCAAACAATTATCTCTTTTTTAAAACATTGGCAGCTAGCCAACTGGGGAGGCCGTTGCGGCGATGCGCAGCAAAGCAACGGGAAGGCCAGGCTGCGACATTCTGCCTCCCCCCACCCCGTCACTATGCAAAAACGGGGTGCCCTCCTACAGCGAGGGGGGTGTCAAAACCAGCCTCTCTCCTTTTTAATTGCCATTTTTATTTATGATTTTGCGGCTTCACTCGTCCCCCGAGCACACAGGGATTCCTCGACTTACGACGAACGGGACCCGGATTTTCCACTGCTAAGCAAGGCGGTGGGTTTTACGAGCATTTTCCCCACTGCAGCCATTAAGCAAATCACACGGTCATTAAACGTGGCTTGTCGGAAGCCAGTTTGGGAGGGTCGCAAACGGGGATGGTGTGATCCCGGGATCCTGCAACCGTCATAAATACGAGTCAGTGGCCAAGCGTCTGAAATTTTGATCCCATGACCAAGGGGATGGTGCAACTGGTCATTAAGTGTGAAAAAAGGTCATTAAGTGACTTTTTTCCACGGCTGTTGTAACTTCCAGACTTCCAGCGGTCGCCCTCAAGCCGAACTAGGGTCAACTCACCAAACGTGGGTCTGTTTTCGCACGACCGGCCGGGCCGCGACGTGTCGAATACCCGCACCATTTTGTCAAAGCCGCAAAAGAGCTGGGCACCGTCAGGAGTGAAGCAAAGCGAGTGGGCGGCCGTCAACTCGTCCTGGACCGAAAAGACAGACAGACAGTTCTCTGGTCAAGCTCTTTGTGTGTGTGTGTGTGTGTGTGTGTGTGTGTGTGTGTGTGTGTGTGTAATTATAGAGCCCCAAGCTTTTTCCCCAGGACGTTTTTTTGTGTTTTCGATTAGGTTGCATTCATTACAGAAGAGAATTACAGAATGACAAGAGTTGGGAGGGACCTCGGAGGTCATCTAGTCCAACCCCCTGCTCAGGCAGGAAAGCGTATGCTGTTTCAGACCAATGGCTGTCCGGCCTCTTCCTAAAAACCTTCAGGGATGAAGCACCCACAACTTCTGGTGGCAATTCGTCCTACTGATTGTAATAGAATCATAGGTTCAGCGTTGGGAAGGGACCTTGGAGGTCATCTAGTCCAACCCCCTGGGGCTCAGGTAGGAAACCCTACCCCGTTTTAGACAAATGACTGTCCAGTCTCTTCTTAAAAACTTCCAGTGTTGGAGCCTTCACCGCTTCTGGAGGCAGGTGGTTCCACTGGTTAATTGTTCTAACTGTCAGGAAGTTTCTCCTTAGTTCTAGGTTGCTTCTCTCCTTGATGAATTTCCATCCGTTGCTTCTTGTCCTGCTTTCAGATGCTTTGGAGAATAGCTTGACTCCCTCTTCTTTGGGGCAGCCCCTGAGATACTGGAAGGCTGCTATCATGTCCCCCCTCGTCCTTCTCTTCATTAAACTGAACAAACCCAATTCCAGCAGCCTTTTCTTATATACTTTAGTCTTCAATCTCCTGATCCTCTTTGTTGCTCTTCTCTGCACTCTTTCCAGAGTCTCAGCATCTTTTTTACATCGTGGTGACCAAAACTGGATGCCGTATTCCAAGTGTGACCTTACCAAGGCCTTGTAAAGTGGTATTAACCCTTCCCGTGATCCTGATTCAGTCCCTCTGTTAATGCAGCCTGGGATTGCACTCAACATCTTTTTTACACAACTGGACGCCGTATTTCAAAGATGGTTCATTAACAGAACAAAGTACAAAGACCTCCAAATGATTAACTGGGTGATTCATTCCTGGACAAGAGGAAAAACCCAGGGGGCTGGGGGGGGGGGAACCCTCGCCTTCGGACCTACTCACCAGGTGGTTGTAGGGGCGAAAGGAGGCCCGTAGCTCCCCACTGAAGGCATCCCACACGTGGACGGGGTTGTCTCGGCTGCTGCTGGCCAGGCTGCATGGGGAGAGAAGGCAGTGAATGGAGAAGGGAGAAGGGAGAAGGGAAAGGAAGGGAAAGGAAAGGAAAGGAAGGGAAAGGAAAGGAAAGGAAAGGGAAGGGAAGGGAAGGAGAAAGGAGAAAGGAAAGGAAAGGAAAAGAAAGGAAAGGAAGGGAAGGGAAGGAAAGGAGGGAAGGAAGGAAGGAAGGAAGGAAGGAAGGAAGGAAGGAAGGAAGGAAGGAAGGAAGGAAAAGGGAAGGGGAAGAAGGAGAAAGGAAGGAGAAGGGAAAAAGAAGGGAAGGGAAGGGGAAGCTGGCATGGACCAAAACCTAGTCGGGCTGTGGAAGAGGACGCTGGGTACCCAAGGGACCCACAAGGGACACACAGGGCACACAACGGACCCACAAGGGCTCCATGGGGACCTACAAGGAGCACCGGCTTCCCTCTTTTCAGCATTTTGAGATCGGAGCTACTGACATCACATTTAATATATATTTAATTTCTAACACCATCCACCCTGGGCAGCTTCCAAGAACTGCTTTCCTCCTCCCAGATGTAAATTCATATCGATTGATTGATATGCCCCCCCCCTTTCTATAACTGCTTTCCTTCTCCCCAGCTGGCACGGGGTGGACTTCAAATCCCCTTGTGGGTTTTTGGGGGGGGGGCGTAGAAAAAGGGTGCGAGAAGAACCAAAGTGGATTTACAAGCAAGTCTCTGGATCGGACGAATTCATCCCCGGGAACCAGCAATAGTCATAAAGGGTGTCGCCTTCCGCCATGCGCAGGACGGGACTCTGTGGAGGCGAAGAGGAGATGATGATGATGATGATGACAATAATAAGAAGAAGAAGAAGAAGAAGAAGAAGAAGAAGAAGAAGAAGAAGAAGAAGAAGAAGAAGAAGAAGAAGAAGAAGAAGAAGAAGAAGAAAAAGAGGAGGAGGAAGAGGAGGAGGAGGAGGAAAAAGAAGAAGAAGAAGAAGAAGAAGAAGAAGAAGAAGAAGAAGAAGAAGAAGAAGAAGAAGAAGAAGAAGAAGAAGAAGAAGAAGAAGAAGAAGAAGAAGAAGAATTAGCTGCTGTTGCAAGAAGATTGCACAGACTAACTACAAGCAGCGGCGCAACAAAGTAGCAACAATGGTGCATTGGAAGATCTGCAAGAAATATCATTTGCCTGTAAGCAAAAACTGGTGGGACCATAAAATAGAGAAAGTCATAGAAAATGATAAAATTAAACTGCTCTGGGACTTCAGAATTCAAACAGACAAGCACCTGCAACATAACACCCCAGACTTAACCATTGTCGATAAGAAAGAGAAAAAAGTCTGGATAGTGGATGTGGCAGTGCCTGGAGATAGCAGAATAGAAGAGAAAGAACTGGAGAAGATAACAAAATACAAAGACCTACAAATAGAAATAGAAAGACTGTGGCAAAAGCACGCAAGGGTAGTACCAATAGTCATAGGCTCCTTGGGTGCAATCCCAAAACAACTGGAGCACCACTTGAACACCATCATCGGCATTGACAAATTCGCTATCGGTCAATTGCAAAAGGTGGCCTTACTAGGAACTGCTTCCATCCTGCGAAGATATCTGTAATACCATCAAACATCCACATCTGCCTATCCCAGGTCCTGGGTAAGGACTCGATAGGTAGACAAAATGCCAAATCCAGTCTGAACATCTGGCTGACTGTGCGATGATCGATAATAATAATAATAATAATAATAACTGTGCGATGATCCATAATAATAATAATAATATAGACAAAATGCCAAATCCAGTCTGAACATCTGGCTGACTGTGCGATGATCCATAATAATAAAGTTGGAAGGCACCTTGGAGGTCATCTAGTCCAACCCCCTGGTTTGGCACATTAGACTAACACGATGTGGGGGGTGTGCAGGACCACCCTGAGGCTGAGGGTGGGGGGGGGAACTCACTGTAACCTTGAACGGTCTCTTAATGCGTTGTTGTGAGTCGAAAAGGAACCATGAATCCACGTACCATTTCAGCCACGTCTCCCCACTGCTCTGCATACAGCTCCGGAGGAAGGTTGTATATCCGCAGTGTGTTGTCGGCACTGTTGGTAAGCAGGCAAGACCCATCGGGTGCCCTGCAGGAAGGAGGGAGGGAGGTGGGTGGTCAGAAACACCCCCCAGAAAGGGTCTCCCCCCTCCAGGAGGGGTTCTGCTCCTCCCGGCTCATCTCACTAAGCAAGTCGTTATTTTCAGCCACAAAAGAGGGAAAAATGATCACACAAACCTGGACAGGGAAAGTTGTGTCGCAATGAGGAACACAACCAACAAGAGGGCGTTCCTTTTCGAAACCAAGGATGAATTTATGCCAGAGTTTCTCAGCCTCAGCTACTTTTCAGATGTGTGGACTTCAACTCCCAGAATTCCCTACTCAGCCATGCTGGGTGGGGGATTCTGGGAGTCCACCGGTCTTAAAGCAGGCTGGTTGGGGAATTCTGGGAGTGGAAATCCACCCCTCTTAAAGCAGGCTGGCTGGGGGATTCTGGGGGTGGAAGTCCACATCTCTTAAAGCAGCCTGGCTGGGGGATTCTGGGAGTGGAAGTCCCCGTCTTGCAGCCTGGCTGGGGGATTCTGGGAGTTGAAGTCCACCTGTCTTAAAGCAGGCTGGCTGGGGAATTCTGGAAGTTGAAGTCCACATCTCTTAAAGCATGCTGAGGAATTCTGGGAATTGAAGTCCCCCCCCCGTCTTCAAGCCGGCTGGCTGAGGAACTCTGGGAGTTGAAGTCCCCCCATCTTACGAGGGATTCTGGAATTAAAGTCCACACGCCCCTCCAAGGGAACTCCAAGAGTTGAAATCCACACACCTTAGAAAGGAATTCTGGGAGTTGAAGCCCACATATCTTAAAAGGAATTCTGGGAGTTGAAGTCCACACATCTTAAAAAAATTGCTGAGGCTGACAAACGCCGATGGATCCAACTGAAGAATTCGGCCATGGGGGGGCTTGTCTCTTCCTTTTAACAATTTCTCACCAACTGCCCACTGGAAGTTGTGGGATCCTCTGCCCATCTGCCTGCCTGCCCCATAGGCTCCTTCGTTCTCCCATTTTTAACCCCTTCCCTCCCAGCCATTCAGCTGCTTTCTTCTTACTGCTACCAGCCTCCTCACCACCTCCATCGTGGCTGGGACCAGCGTCTAGGTCCCCCGGGTGGGCTTCTTCTTCTGTCCGGTCCCATCCAAGGGGAGAAGAACCTGGAGCAGGCTGGGGGAATTCCCCAGGTCTAAGGACCAGCACCCCCTTCTCCAGGCAGGTCCACCAGCAGCCCCAAACCCAGAAGAAGTGGGAAGGGGCCTTCCTTTCCAAGACCCAGGTGGTCTCACCCCGACGCCGAGGTACCTACCACTTGCAGCCTTTCAAGAAGTTCTCCGGGACGTGACCGTACTCGGCCCAGGCACCTGTCAGAAGTCGGGGGGGCTGGCCAAAGTCGTACGCCGGGACGCTAGGAGAGGGGAGAAATAGGCCAGGTGCAGCCTGTGAACTCAACTGCGAATTACTACTCACTAGGACCGTAAGTGCTGCTAATTAAGCTACCTTCGGCTGCTCTGCCATAACTAGCACTGTGGATGTCACCTAGTTTGGGGGGGGGGTTCATGAAACATCTGAAAGAAAACCGCCCAGCTCAGAGAGCACCAAGGACCCCACAATCTTCATCCTCCTCTTCCTCTCTGCAAACCCCACCGCCTTCAAGCACTGATGACGTTGCCTAGTTGGGTCATGAAAGGTCTGCAAGGAAACAGTCAAGCTTAGAAAGCAGCAAAGACTCCACAGTCGTCCTCCTCCTCCTCCTCCTCCTCTTCTTCTTCTTCTTCTTCTTCTTCCTTCCTTCCTTTCTTCCTTCCCTCTTCCTCCTCCTCCCCCCTTCTTCTTCTCTGCAAACCCTACTCCCTTCCAGCACTGATGGTGTTCCCTAGTTGGGTCATGAAACGTCTGCAAGGAAACCACCCAGCTCAGAGAGCACCAAGGACCCCCCAGTCGTCGTCGTTGTCCTCCACCTCCTCCTTCTCATCCTCTTCTTCTTCCTCTTCTTCTTCTTCCTCTTCCTTCCTTCCTTCCTTCCCTCCTCCTCCTCCCTTCTTCTTCTCTGCAAACCCCACTCCCTTCCAGCACTGATGACGTTGCCTAGTTGGGTCATGAAAGGTCTGCAAGGAAACCACCCAGCTCAGAGAGCATCAAGAACCCCACAGTCGTCGTCCTCCTCCTCCTCCTCCTCCTCCTCCTCCTCCTCCTCTTCTTCTTCTTCTTCTTCCTCTTCTTCTTCTTCTTCTTCCTCTTCCTTCCTTCCCTCCTCCTCCTCCTCTCCCCTTCTTCTTCTCTGCAAACCCCACTCCCTTCCAGCACTGATGGTGTTCCCTAGTTGGGTCATGAAACGTCTGCAAGACAACCACCCACCTCAGAGAGCACCAAGGACCCAACAGTTCTCCTCCTCCTCCTCCCTTCTAGCACTGATGATGTTCCCTAGTTGGGTCACGAAACGTCTGCAAGGAAACCACCCAGCTCAGAGAGCACCAAGGACTCCACAGTCCTCCCCCTCCTCCCCACACACCTCACTTCCTTCTAGCACTGATGTTATCTAGTTGGGTCATGAAATGTCAACATGACATGTGTAGAGAGCCCCAAGGACCCCACAGTCCTCGCCCTCCCCTCCTCTTCCTCTCTCCATCAACCCCACTCCTTTCTAACACTGATGATGTCACCTAGCTGGGTCATGAAACATCTGCAAAAAAAAAAAAAAAAACCCCATCAAAATTCAGAGAGTCCCAAAGAACCTACAGTCCTTAACCTCTCCTCCTCCCTCCCCCCTCCTCCTTCTCCTCCTCCTCAAATCCCAGTCCCTTCTAGCACTGATGATGTTCTCTAGTTGGATCACGAAACGTCTACAAGAAAACCACCAAGATCAGAGAGCACCAAGGACCCCTCAGTCCTTCGCCTTGCTCTCCTTCTCCTCCTCTCTGCAAACTCACCTCCCTTCTAGCACAGATGATGTTACCTAGTTGGGTCCAGAAATGTCTACAAGAAAACAACCAAGATCAGAGAGCGTCAAGGATCCCTCACTCCTCCTCCTCCTCCTCCTTGCAAACTCCCTTCTAGCACTGATGTTGTTCCCTAGTTGGGTCATGAAACATCTGCAAGAAAACCACCCAGCTCAGAGAGCACCAAGGACCCCTCGGTCCTTCGCCTTGCTCTCCTTCTCCTCTCTGCAAACTCACCTCCCTTCTAGCACTGATGATGTTATCTAGTTGGGTCACGAAACGTCTACAAGGAAACAACCAAGATCAGAGAGCGTCAAGGACCCCTCGGTCCTTCGCCTTGCTCTCCTTCTCCTCCTCTCTGCAAACTCACCTCCCTTCTAGCACTGATGATGTTACCTAGTTGGGTCCTGAAACGTCTGCAAGAAAACCACCAGGCTCACCCAGGACCCCTCCCTAAGCTTCCTTCCCCAACTCTTAACCATCCCATGCCTCAAAACCACAGACTAGAAGACCTTCAAGGTCCCTTCCCACCTTACTATCCTACGTTCACCTCCAGGAGAAGAAACCTGCTCCCAGATCTTCCTTTCTCCGGGATTGAGGAAGTCTCAACTCCTCTGCCTCAACTGAACTGTGTGTTTTATTCGGAGTCCAACTCACTAATATTCTCCCCCATCGGTCAACGCTCCGCTTCCTTCAACCGCTTCTTCCTGCGTCCCATTGCCCAGCTCTTCCTCCAAGCCTAGCGAAGAATCCTGGAAGTGGGATTCTCCTTCCTCTTGAGAAAGACCCTGGACAGCAGGATTTTCGTCTTCCTGAGCGCCGTTCAGCCGCGGCACTTTAGAAGCCGGTCCAGAACTTTCTTCTGCTTCCCCAACGTTGTCCGTGGATTGTTGCAAGTCCGCCGTAGCCAGTCCCTCCGCAGAGAATTCGGCCTCCATCACAAACTTCAAAAAGGATCTCTTGAGCAAAAGCTGCCAAGTGAAATGCCCCTTGGACAGGGTTGAGGCAAGCACTTCTCCTGGCGATAGCCCCAATTGCCGTTTCCGCAGGAGGAGAAAGCAGTTTTATTCACCCCAGCTTAGGAGAGAAAAGGATGCCACAAGGAAGTGAGGTTTCTGTGGATTACAAAAGAAAAAATATTAATATGGTTGATTGTGTCGAAACAGAATAGAATAGAAAACAGAATAGAATACAGAATAGGAACAGAACATAGAATACAGAATAGAATACAATACAGAATACAGAATAGAACAGAACAGACTATAGAATAGAACAACAGAACAGAATAGAATTAAGAAGAGAAATAAGAATAGAATAGAATAGAATAGAATAGAATAGAATAGAAATACAGAATAGGATAGGATAGGATAGGAAATAGAATAGAATAAGGAATAGAATAGAATAGAGAATAGAATAATAGAATAGAATAGAATAGAATAGAACAGAACATAGAATAGAACAACAGAACAGAATAGAATTAAGAAAAGAGAATAGAAATTAGAATAGAATAGAATAGAATAGAATAGAGTAGAGTAGAATAGAATAGAATAGAAATAGAAATAAAATAGAAATACAGGATAGGATAGGAAATAGAATAGAATACAATAGAATAGAATAAGGAATAGAATAGGAGAGAATAGAATAGAATACAAATACAGAATAGGATAGGATAGGAAATAGAATAGAATATGGAATACAATAGAATAAAATATGGAATGGAATGGAATGGAATGGAATGGAATGGAATAGAATAGAATAGTGTTAGAAATATAGAAATAGACTAAAACAGAACAGAACGGAACAGAACAACAGATTTGGAAGGGACACTGGAGGTCCTCTAGTCCAACCCTCTAATCAGGCAGGAAACCCTTTTTCTATTTCAGACAGATGGATGTCCCATCTCTTCAACTGTAGCAAGTTATTCTGGGTACAAGCATTCCAGACCACCACAGCATTTAGTAGCCCGATAAAGGTTTCTCGTATTTGACAGAGCAAGGAAATTAACACTTAAAAACCAAAATACTAGTCCTTCTAAAACGGGCCGTCCTTGACTTACAATCATTCATTGAGTAACCATTCATTAAGTTACAACAGGACTGGAAAAAGCGACTTACGACCACCGTTTTTTACACTTTACAAGTGTTGCTACGGGATCCAAATTCACACGCTCAGCCGCTGACTCCTATTTATGACGGTCGCAGCATCCTGGGGTCACGTGATCCCCTTTGGCAACTTTCTCACAAGAAAAATTTAACAGGGAAGTTGTGACTCACAACTGCACAACTGCAGTGATTCACCTAACGACTGTGGCAAGAAAGGTCACCCCATGGAGCAAAACTCACTTAATGACTGTCTCGCTTAGCAACGGAAATCTGGGGCTCCCTCGCGGTCGTAAGTCGAGGACGACCTGTGCAGTCATCAAATTAACTAATAATAAATGGTTAATATCTAATAAATCAAGAGTTGTCCTTCATTACACCAATAACTTTATATGTCATGGTAAATTACTGCACAATTCAATGAAATACTAAATTAAAGGACGTCCTTCGTTACATTAATTTATAATGATTAATTTAATGAATTAAGGGATGCCCACCATAACATCAATCAACTTAATGCACAGTAATAAATAGCGCAACGATATATCAAGCTAAGGGCTGGTCATCATTGCATTAATTTTTAATAAATTTTTAATAAATGATCAACCTAATAAAATAATAAATTTAAGGGCTGGACATCCTTAAATGGACTTATATAATAAGAAATTATGGAATGAAGTGCAACAATAAATTAAGAGAGGCCACCGTTCAAATTAAGCATCCCGACCCGGCGGTGCAGCGTAACGGGGAAGACCAGACACGCGTTCAAGGTCGACACGTGTCACCATCGTCACGTGTAAACGATCTGATGCGGGCAGAGCTACGCACCGCCGTCAGGGGCGAGCTCCGGGCTTCCCCGCGGCAGCTTCCCCGGGAGGAGGAGGCGAAAGGCGGCCCTCCTTCAACTTGCCTCCCGGAAGCTTCTTCCCCTTGTTCAGACGACGGGCAGCAAATGGGTGCCGCCATGACACCCCAGGCCCCGCCCCCCGATTGAGAGGCGGAGTCTCGCGAGAGTTGGAGGATTTCAGGCATGGCGCCATTTCGCCGCATGTAGAGATAAGATATTAGAGCAGACCCCCACCCACCCGGAGGTGTAAATTGAACCTTCCGGGTACAGCATTGTGGTTAAATTCCTCCTTAAATACTAGAGAGAATTAAATCTCTGCAAGGATTTGTTTTAACCTGACTTTAAATCAGGGGCCTTCAAACTGGGCCCTTTTGTGACTGGTGGACTTCAACTCCCAGAATTCCTCAGCCAGGCACCCTATTCTATTCCATTCCATTCCATTCCATACCATATTTTCTTTTCTTTTCTATTCTATTCTATTCTATTCTATTCTATTCTTATTTCTTCTGTTCTTATTTCTTATTCTATTCTTCTATTATTTTTTCTTCTATTCTATTCTATTCTTATTTCTTCTATTCTATTCTATTATTCTATTCTATTATTATTTCTTCTTCTATTCTATTCTATTCTTTCTTATTCTGTTCTATTCTATTATTTATTCTATTCTATTCTATTATTTATTCTATTCTATTCTATTATTTATTCTATTATTATTTCTTATTCTATTCTATTCTATTATTCTATTCTATTACTCTATTGTATTCTATTATTTATTCTATTCTATTCTTCTATTATATTATTTTTTCCTATATTCTATTATTATTTCTTCTCTTCTCTTCTATTCTATTCTATTCTATTATTATTTCTTCTGTTCTTATTTCTTATTCTATTCTATTCTTCTATTATTTTTTCTTCTATTCTATTATTATTTCTTCTATTCTATTCTATTATTCTATTCTATTATTATTTCTTCTTCTATTCTATTCTATTCTATTCTTTCTTATTCTGTTCTACTCTATTATTTATTCTATTCTATTATTTATTCCATTCTATTCTTCTATTATATTATTTTTTCCTATATTCTATTATTATTTCTTTTATTCTATTCTATTCTATTCTTTCTTCTATTCTATTATTATTTCTTCTATTCTATTATTTATTCTATTCTTATTCTATTCTGTTATTCTATTCTATTATTATTTATTCTTATATTCTATTCTATTCTTATTTCTTATTCTATTCTATTCTTATTTATTCTATTCTATTCTATTCTATTCTTATTTCTTATTCTATTCTATTATTATTTATTCTATTCTATTATTATTTCTTCTTCTATTCTATTCTATTCTATTCTATTATTATTTCTTCTTATTTTCTATTCTATTCTTATTTCTTATTCTATTCTATTCTCAACATTCAGAGGTTTGGCAACAGACTCCTATTTATGATAGTTGTTACAGTGTCCCGGGGTCATACGATCCCATTTTACCACCTTCTAGCAAGCAAAGTCAATGTGGAAGCCAAATTCACTTAACAACCAAGTTACTCGCTTAACAACTGCAGTGATTCATTTAAGAACGGTGGCAAGCCAGGTCGTAAAACGGAGACACAAAACTCACTTGACAACTTTCCCTCTTAGCAACGGAAATTTGGGGCTGAGTTGTCGTCGTTAAGGCGAGGAATTTTCCAGGCAACTGGCGGGAGGGGGGAAAGCCATAGGAATCTGAGTGGGGCAAAGAGAGATTGGGGTCTCTGCATTGGGTGATATTGTTGACCTACCTGGCTTCTTTCTGCCAACATGAAATATGGAGCATTGCGGTATCTTCCATCCATTCTCTCCGGTTGAGTGGTTAGCTTGTTCTTTCCAGCGGTAAGAGTGTCCGAATTGCACAAGGCGGCACTTGTGGCCTTTCCCCCACTTGCCGAGCGGAAGGACTCCCCCCCCACGGTCCTTCCCATTCATTAGCTTTTCTTTTAATCCTGCTTTTATGTCACACATAACTAGCTCAAGATGGGAAACGTACGTAATAATCCTTCCTCCTTCTCTTATCCGCACAACAGCCCTGCGGGGTTGGACGGCGAAAGAGAGGAACTGACCCAAAGTCGCCCAGCTGCCTAAGGTGAGACTAGAACTCACGGCCTCTTGGGGATTGGCCCAAAGTCACCCAGCCAGTTTTTGTGTTTAAGGTGGGACTAGAACTCCCAGGCACCTGGTCACTGGCCCAAAAAACGTCCAGCCAGTTTTCGTGCCTAAGGTGGGACTAGAATTCATAATCTCCTGGTGATTGGCCCAAAGTCACCTGGCCAGCTTTTATGGCTAAGGCGGAACTAGAACTCACCGTCTCCTGGTGATTGGCCCAAAGTCAGCCAGCCGGCTTTTATGGCTAAGGCGGGACTAGAACTCACCGTCACCTGGTGATTGGCCCAAAGTCACCCAGCTGGCTTTTATGGCTAAGGCGGGACTAGAACTCACCATCCCCCTGGTGATTGGCTCAAAGTGACACGCCCAGCTTTTATGGCTAAGGCGGGACTAGCTCACCGTCTCCCTGGTGATTGGCCCAAAGTCAGCCAGCCGGCACTTATGGCTAAGGCGGGACTAGAACTCACCGTCTCCCTGGTGATTGGCCCAACGTCAGCCAGCCGGCTTTTATGGCTAAGGCGGAACTAGAACTCACCGTCTCCTGGTGATTGGCCCAAAGTCACTCAGCCAGTTTTCGTGCCTAAGATGAGACTAGAATTCATAATCTCCTGGTGATTGGCTCAATGTCACTCAGACGGCTTTTATGGCTAAGGCACAACTCTACCACCTAACTGCGGTTACAACTAACCAGGTTTACATGCCGTGAAAACGGGCGACGTTGCATCTTTAACTGACCCCCTTGAAGGCATCTGCTGGTTCATGTGAAAAAGGACGACCCCAGCCTGTCAAGTCTGGTGCCCAGACGGGGATCTCTTGGCACTCTTCCAAGCATGACAGAGACCGAAAGGGTGCCGAGTGCGAAAAGCAGCCCCCAGGAATGTCCGTTTGTAACAGAGATCAGGACATCTGCAAGGGAGGAAAATCTCAGCTTCCAAGAACTGGGATAAAGATCAAAATGTGACCTCTGATCTCCTTCAGATCACGCCAGCTTCTTCCTTCAAGGGCCTCCCACCATCGGTGGTCAATGAGGGCAGGCAATCAAGCGGAGAAGGCCAAGGGTCAGGTGTGGCCTTTAAAGGACCAGCGTTCAGCCGAGGAACAGCGGCAGGTCCTTCAAGACGTTTGCTGGCCACCATGAGCTTCCTTGTCCGTCCTTGGGTCAAAAGGGACGCACTGGATGTGGTGCGGCTGGTTAGGGTGAGAAGCTGGGACGGTGGGGAGCTGGGGAGGGCAAAAGAGGGGGGTCTCAAGGATCCAGGAGGAAGGCAGTGGTGGGAAGGTTGGGGATCCACCATAACTTGGTTGTGGATTGAGTCCTGAGGTGCCATGAATTCAGTGTGGGCATCTAAAGGGGCTTTCTCAACCATGAAGACTTTAAGACGGGTGGACTTCAACTCCCAGAATTCCCCAGCCGGGCTATTTTAAGATAGGTGGACTTCAACTCCCAGAATCCCTCAGCCAGTCCCACATTAAAGGCTCCAGGCTTGAAAAACACTGACCTACTTGGATGTTCTTCTTCGTGAAGATCTCTCTCCAGCTTGGTCCTTCGGGTCTTCTAATGGGTGTCTCCCTCACCACCACACCTCGGTCCATCCCCCTTCCTGCTGGTTGTCCTCTCCTTCCCTTCCCTTCCACTTTTCCCACCATGATGGGCTTCTCCAGAGGTTGGATGGCTAGCCTCAAGAGTTATTGATTGATTGATGGTGACCATCAAGGCAGCGTTGATTCTTAACAACCTCCTGGAATGATGTTCTCCATGAAGATCTATCTCCAGCTTGGTCCTTCAGCTCTTCCAAGGTGCCCCCTCACCACTGGGGCTTGAGTTCCTCCACCTTGTTGCTCTTCTTCTCTTCCTTTCCACCTTCCACCTTCTTCTTTTCCTTTTCACCTTCCCTTCCACCTTCTCTTCCCTTCCACCTCTTCTCTTCCACCTTCCACCTTCTTCTCTTCCGTGCCACCTTCCACCTTCTCTTCCTTTCCACCTTCCCTTCCATCTTCTCTTCCACCTTCCACCTTCCACTCTTCTTTTCCACCTTCCCTTCCACCTTCTCTTCCCTTCCCCCTTCCACCTTCTTCTCCTCCGTACCACCTTCCACCTTCTCTTCCTTTCCACCTTCCCTTCTACCTCTTCCCTTCCCCCTTCCCCCTTTTTCTCTTCTCTTCCACCTCCCCTTCCACCTTCCACTCTTCCTTTCCACCTTCCCTTCCACCTTCTTCTCTTCCTTTCCACCTTCTCTTCCCTTCCCCCTTCCACCTTCTTCTCCTCCGTTCCACCTTCCACCTTCTCTTCCTTTCCACCTTCCCTTCCATCTTCTCTTCCACCTTCCACCTCTTCCTTTCCACCTTCCCTTCTACCTTCTCTTTCCTTCCCCCTTCCTCCTTTTTCTCTTCTCTTCCACCTTCCCTTCCACCTTCCACCTTCCCTTCCACCTTCCTTTCCTTTCCACCTTCTCTTCCCTTCCCCCTTCCACCTTCTTCTCCTCCATACCACCTTCCACCTTCTCTTCCTTTCCACCTTCCCTTCTACCTTCTCTTCCCTTCCCCCTTCCCCCTTCCCCCTTCCCCCTTTTTCTCTTCTCTTCCACCTTCCCTTCCACCTTCCACTCTTCCTTTCCACCTTCCCTTCCACCTTCTTCTCTTCCTTTCCACCTTCTCTTCTCCCTTCCACCTTCTTCTCCTCCGTTCCACCTTCCACCTTCTCTTCCTTTCCACCTTCCCTTCCATCTTCTCTTCCACCTTCCACCTCTTCCTTTCCACCTTCCCTTCTACCTTCTCTTTCCTTCCCCCTTCCACCTTTTTCTCTTCTCTTCCACCTTCCCTTCCACCTTTCCACCTTCCCTTCCACCTTCTTCTCTTCCTTTCCACCTTCTCTTCCCTTCCCCCTTCCACCTTCTTCTCCTCCATACCACCTTCCACCTTCTCTTCCTTTCCACCTTCCCTTCTACCTTCTCTTCCCTTCCCCCTTCCCCCTTCCCCCTTCCCCCTTTTTCTCTTCTCTTCCACCTTCCCTTCCACCTTCCACTCTTCCTTTCCACCTTCCCTTCCACCTTCTTCTCTTCCTTTCCACCTTCCCTTCCCCCTTCCACCTTCTTCTCCTCCGTTCCACCTTCCACCTTCTCTTCCTTTCCACCTTCCCTTCCATCTTCTCTTCCACCTTCTACTCTTCCTTTCCACCTTCCGTTCTACCTTCCACTTTCTTCTCTTCTCTTCCACCTTCCACCTTTGCTTCCTTTCCACCTTCCCTTCCACCTTCTCTTCCCTTCCCCCTTCCACCTTTTTCTCTTCCCTTCCACCTTCCCTTCTACCTTCCACTTTCTTCTCTTCCCTTCCACCTTCCACCTTCCCCATCTTGGCTTTGGGGTGGGTGGGATATATAGAGAGAGGAGCCCCTATTTTGGTCTTTCGCCGCTGTTGGAGAAACCTTGATAAGACTTTCTTGAGGGAAAGAAGGGATTGTCCGAAGTCGAAGACGGATGAGGAGGACAGAGAAATGGACTCTGGCTTGGACTCTCCTCGCTGGAAAACCCCAGAATGTTCCGGTCCACTCACGAGAGTTTCCATCTTTTTTTTAGGAACTGGCGGCATCTCACAACGCCCTCCACCAGGTAAAAACCTCTCCAGAAGGTAAGTCCCTGTTCCCACTCAAAAAAGCATTTAACGGAAGCCAAATCAGGTAGTTCTCGGCTTACGACCACCACGGAGCCCCACATTTCCGTTGCTAAGCAAGACAGTTGAGTTTTGGCCCTTTTTTACAACCTTTTTTGCTTCGGTTGTTAAGGGCAGGGGGGGGAAACCAGACTTGCTTAAGAACCGCGTTACGACCTTAACAACTGCAGCGAAGGTTGTAAAATGGGGCAAAACTCGTTTAACAACCGTCTCGCTTAGCGATGGAAATTTGGGGCTCCATTGTCGTCGTAAGTCGAGGGTTGCCTGGCGCCTCCCTTCTAAATTGTAAGACTGGACAGCCCTTTGTCTGAAATGGCATAGGGTTTCCTGCCTGAGCAGGGGGTTGGACTAAATGACCTCCAAGGTCCCTTCCAACATCATCATCAACAACAACATCATCATCATTATTATTGTTGTTGTTGTTGTTATTATTATTATTATTATTATTATTATTATTATTATTAGTCTGAAATGGTATAGGGTTTCCTGCCTGAGCAGGGGATTGGACTAGATGACCTCCAAAGTCCCTTCCAACATCATCATCATTATTATTATTATTACTATTATTAGTCTGAAATGGTATAGGGTTTCCTGCCTGAGCACGGGGTTGGACTAGATGACCTCCAAAGTCCCTTCCAACATCATCATCATTATTATTATTATTATTACTATTATTAGTCTGAAATGGTATAGGGTTTCCTGCCTGAGCACGGGGTTGGACTAGATGACCTCCAAAGTCCCTTCCAACATCATCATCATCATCATATTATTATTATTATTAATCTGAAGTGGTATAGGGTTTCCTGCCTGAGCAGCGGGTTGGACTAAATGACCTCCAAAGTCCCTTCCAACATCATCATCATCATCATCATCATTATTAGTCTGAAATGGTATAGGGTTTCCTGCCTGAGCAGGGGGTTGGACTAGATGACCTCCAAGCTCCCTTCCAACATCATCATCATCATCATTATTATTATCATCCTGGTGATTCTTGGATTCTCTCTCTTCATTCGCAGAAACCACTATTTGCAACTCTGATCTCCCAGCGCGCGCGCATGTGTGTGTGTGTGTGTGTGCGCGCGCGTGTGCGTTTGTGTGTATAGCGTATCAGTGCTGCAATTTTTTTTTCCCCGCCTTGCCATCCACCCTTGGAGAGATAAAACCGTTTAATCACCCAGCAAGCGGTTTAAACTTTAACCTGTTTTAACTTCAAACTTGTCTGAACACCCGATCGATTTTCCTCTGCAGCACTCCGGAAAGAAGGCTTTGAAAAGGACACCATCTTTGGGTACCTGGTGGCCGAGGTGCCCCCCGTGCAAAAAAGCAAAGACGGTACGGCAACAGGCAAGGGGTCCCCTTGCAGGAGGGGGCGGTGGGGAGAAGCCCAGCCCTTGGGAGGGTGGGAAAAGTGGCTGCGGAGGCAGAGAGGGACCCTGGGAATTGGGGTGAAGGGGAAGGCAACCCTCCCCCCCCCAAAATGTGTTATGCCTTATCCGCCATCTTTCAGTCGGTTACGATGCCCGACGGAACTGGAAGAGGGTTCGCCATGGTTTGTGCCAATTCGGTCGAGGGGTTAAGGTGCCAGGTTAGGAACCAGGCGACGGTGAGTTCTAGATCCACCGTCAGCACGAAAGCCAGCTGGGTGACTTTGGGCCAATAAACAGGTGACGGCGAGTTCTAGTCCCGCCTTAGGCATGAAGGCCAGCTGGGTGACTTTGGGCCAATCACCAGGAGACGGTGAGTTCTAGTCCTGCCTTAGACATGAAAGCCGGCGGGCTGACTTTGGGCCAATCACCAGGAGACGGTGAGTTCTAGTCCCACTTAGCTACAAAAGCCAGCTAGATGACTCTGAGCCAATCACCAGGAGACGGTGAGTTCTAGTCCCACCTTAGGCACGAAAACTGGCTGACTGACTTTGATCCAATCACCAGGAGATGGTGAGTTCTACTCCCGCCTTAGGCATGACAGCCAGCTGGGTGACTCTGAACCAATCACCAGGTGACGGTGAGTTCTAGTCCCGCCTTAGGCATGAAAGCCGGCAGGGTGACTCTGGGCCAATCACCAGGAGACAGTGAGTTCTAGTCCCACTTAGCTACAAAAGCCAGCTGGTGACTCTGAGCCAATCACCAGGTGATGGTGAGTTCTAGTCCCACCTTAGGCACGAAAACTGGCTGACTGACTTTGATTCAATCACCAGGAGACGGTGAGTTCTAGTCCCGCCTTAGGCATGACAGCCAGCTGGGTGACTCTGAACCAATCACCAGGAGACGGTGAGTTCTAGTCCTGCCTTAGGCATGAAAGCTGGCCGGGTGACTTTGGGCCAATCGCCAGGCGACGGTGAGTTTTAGTCCTGCTTAGCTACAAAAGCCAGCTGGATGACTCTGAGCCAATCACCGGGCGATAGTGAGTTCTAGTCCCGCCTTAGGCACAAAAAAAAGCCAGCTGGATGACTCTGAGCCAATCACCAGGAGATGGTGAGTTCTAGTCCCGCCTTAGGCATGACAGCCAGCTGGGTGACTCTGAACCAATCACCAGGAGACGGTGAGTTCTAGTCCTGCCTTAGGCATGAAAGCTGGCCGGGTGACTTTGGGCCAATCGCCAGGCGACGGTGAGTTTTAGTCCTGCTTAGCTACAAAAGCCAGCTGGATGACTCTGAGCCAATCACCGGGCGATAGTGAGCAGCCAGCTGGATGACTCTCTGCCAGGCGGTGAGTTCTAGTCCTGCCTTAGGCATGAAAGCTGGCCGGGTGACTTTGGGCCAATCGCCAGGCGACGGTGAGTTTTAGTCCTGCTTAGCTACAAAAGCCAGCTGGATGACTCTGAGCCAATCACCGGGCGATAGTGAGTTCTAGTCCCGCCTTAGGCACAAAAAAAAGCCAGCTGGATGACTCTGAGCCAATCACCGGGCAATAGTGAGTTCTAGTCCCGCCTTAGGCACAAAAGCCGGCTGGGTGACTGTGGGCCTGTCGCCCTCTCTCAGTCCAACCCAATTCAAAGGAAGGAAGGAAGGAAGGAAGGAAGGAAGGAAGGAAGGAAGGAAGGAAGGAAGGAAGGAAGGAAGGAAGGAAGGAATAATTTTACAAAAATAGTCACCTCCTTCCAGCCCCCTTACAGCTCCATCCGGGTTTCCATTCTCCATCCTTACAAACACTTCCGAATCCTTTCAAAACCGGATTCTGGGGCGGCAGAGACCTGAACGCATCGCCAGGAAGATCCGTGAAACCCCAGCGAGAAACGGGTGGGAAAAATTGAACACTGGTCCGTGAATGGGAGGCCAGCTGTTGCTCTTTCATCCCCCCCCCTTCCCAGATGCAGAATTCAAGTTTATCCTTTTTTTTTTTTCTCAGCGCCCTTTCGTTAACCCAGTTTGCTGCTCCATTCCCCCCCTGCAGGACACACCATTGTCGGCTATCAGTTCCACTACTTGAGCTACTGCACCTGGGACGGCCCAGTTCTCTTCGGCGAAGACCTCTACGTGATGCCGGAATTCCGAGGTAGTAATAATAATAGTAGTAAAGTTGGAAGGGACCTTGAAGGTCATCTAGTCCAGCCCCCTGCTCAGGCAGGAAACCCTACACCATTTCGGACAAATGGCTGTCCAGTCTCTTCTTAAAAACTTCCAGTGTTGGAGCATTTACTGCTTCTGGAGGCAGGCGGTTCCACTGATTAATTGTTCTCACTGTCAGGAAGTTTCTCCTTAGTTCTAGGTTGCTTCTCTCCTTGATTAGTTTCCACCCGTTGCTTCTTGTCCTGCCTTCAGGCGCTTTGGAGAATAGCTTGACTCCCTCTTCTTTGGGGCAGCCCCTGAGATATTGGAAGACTGCTATCATGTCCCCCCCTTGTCCTTCTCTTCGTTAAACTAGACATCCCCAATTCTAGCAACCGTTCCTTGTATGTTTTAGCCTCCAGTCCCCTGATCATCTTTGTTGCTCTTCTCTGCACTCTTTCTAGAGTCTCAACATCTTTTTTACATCGTGGTGACCAAAACTGGATGCAATATTCCAAGTGTGGCTTTACCAAGGCATTGAAGAGTGGTATTAATATTTCACGTGATCTTGATTCTCTCCCTCTGTTAATGCAGCCTAGCACTGTGTTGGCCTTTTTGGCAGCTGCAGCACACAGCTGGCTTATATTTAAATGATTTTTCCACTAGGACTCTGAGGTCCCTCTCACAGTTACTACTATTGAGCATGGTGCCACCTATGCTGTATTTGTGCAGCATAGGTAGTGGAGAAATTCGGGGCCCTTCTGTTACATACGATGGGGGGTAGAGGTCCTCGATTTAGCAACGCCACAAAGTTCTGACGGATCTACCCGGGGACGTTCTTACAACTCAGATTCCAAGTTTTAAAGATACCGGTCGTTCTGGACTTACGACGATTCGTTTAGCAACCATTTGAGATTACAACGGCGCTGAAAAAGGTGACCAAGGACTGTTTTTCACACTTAACGACCATCGCAGCCTCCCTATGATCACGTGATCAAAATCTGGACTCGTGGCGACGGGTTCATATTTATGACGGGTCTTGTGTGAGTCATCAGGGAGAGGCTTGTGATGAGTCTTGTGACATGGATGTTACAACAGGTCAGGTCGCTGGGAGGCGAACTGCTGGTGAGAGTGGGGGATTGCGCGGGATGGCTGAGGAGCAGTGCTGTCTCGGGTTGGCTGTGCGGTTGATTTGACTCCCAAGCGATACGTAGGCTGATTGTCGGTCAGTGTGTCCGTTGATGGAATTGCTTGCGGCATGCCAGGCTTCGGTGAACTAACGCACATGGCGGGTGGTCGCATGGCCGGTGATTTTTGTGTTGCTCCGATCAAACTAGAGTTGTTTGGTGTTGGTGTGGGTATCGATTTAAGGATTTGGGATTGTGGGGTTTGACTGCCAGCCGGTGTTCGTGGATCCTGTTTTTTTTGATAGACGTGACGCTTGTCCTATGTAGAATTGGTTGCAATCGTTACAGGTTTTTTTTAATGTTTATTATGCTGTAAGCTGCCCAGAATCATTTGAAGCAAGATGGGTGGCAAATAAATTTAATAAGTAAATAAATCCCACATTTAAGGCAGCTTCGGGCCAAATCAAACATTAGATTTATCCTTCTCGTCTTTTCTATTACCTATTTCCTTAGCTTCTTATGACTATAACTTTGCAGTTTGATTCTTAGAACCTATGTTGATTGCTTTGATTAGTTTCCCATTATGATTTACGACGATTGCTTATTTATTATCCTAGCACTATCACTGAATGTGGATTTAGGAAGGTTGTATTTTAGGATTATGATCATGATTTCTCATTTGATGCTTACGCACCAGAGACAAATTCCTTGTGTGTCCAAACACACTTGGCCAATAAAGAATTCTTCTTATTAAAGTTAATTGTTAATGCTGGGCTGCATTAACAGAAGGATAGAATCAAGATCACGTGAAGTATTAATACCACTTTACAAGGCCTTGGTAAGGCCACACTTGGAATACGGCATCCAGTTTTGGTCACCGTGATGTAAAAAAGATGTTGAGACTCTGGAAAGAGTGCAGAGAAGAGCAACAAAGATGATCAGAGGACTGGAGGCAAAAGCATGCAAAGAACGGTTGCTGGAATTGGGGATGTCTAATTTAACGAAGAGAAGGACGAGCGGGGACATGATAGCAGTCTTCCAATATCTCAGGGGCTGCCCCAAAGAAGAGGGAATCAAGCTATTCTCCAAAGCCCCTGAAGGCAGGACAAGAAGCAACGGATGGAAACTAATCAAGGAGAGAAGCAACCTGGAACTAAGGAGAAATCTTCTGACAGTTAGAACAATCAACCAGTGGAACAACCTGCCTCCAGAAGCGGTGAATGCTCCAACATTGGAAGTTTTTAAGAAGAGACTGGACAGCCATTTGTCCGAAATGGTACTATAAGGTTTCCTGCCTGAGCAGGGGGTTGGACTAGATGACCTCCAAGGTCCCTTCCAACTTTATTATTAATTATTATGGATCATCGCACAGTCAGCCAGATGTTCAGACTGGATTTAGCATTTTGTCTACCTATCGAGTCCTTACCCAGGACCTGGGATAGGCAGATGTGGATGTTTGATGGTGTTACAGATATCGTCGCAGGATGGAAGCAGTTCCTAGCAAGGCCGCCTTTTGCAGTTGACTAATAGCGAATTTGTCAATGCCAATGGTGTTCAAGTGGTGCTCCAGTTGTTTTGGGATTGCACCCAAGGAGCCTATTGCTATTGGTGCTACCCTTGCTTGCTTTTGCCACAGTCTTTCTATTTCTATTTGTAGGTCTTTGTATTTTGTTATCTTCTCCAGTTCTTTCTTGTCTGTTCTGCTGTCTCCAGGCACTGCCACGTCCGCTTTCCAGACCTTTTTGTCTTTCTTATCGACAATTGTTAAGTCTGGGGTGTTATGTTGCAGATGATGATGATGATTATAAAATATATGATTTTTCTCTCTCTTTCTCTCTCTCATCTTCCTGGCCAGGGAGAGGAGTTGGCACCGCCTTGCTGAACCGAGCATGCAAGGTAAGACCCACGGGTAGCAGTTTAGCCAGCAAGTCTTCCCGTAGTCCAGTCCAGTCCACGGGCCTCTAAGGGCCCCTCCCGAATCAAACAAACCTGGTTTTTAATCTCTTCTCCCCAGATCGCCCTAGAAAAGGGATGCTCTCAATTCCGGTTCATCTCGGCCGAGAAGCATCAAACTACAACCGCTTTCTATCACAAGAAAGGAGCTGTGAACGTCACTGACCGTGATACTTGGCACATCTTCCGGATCGACAGGGACCCCCTTGCGAAGCTGGTGGGGGGAGCTGCAGCCAAGCCGAACCCCGTTTCCTCGCAGCTTTAGACACCCCCCCCCACATTTCCAATTCTACCCAGATTAACCAGTGCAATTCCAAAGGGGTGACTCGAGACCCCCCACCTCTCCCCTACCTGTGCGCAGGTTGAGGGGTGGGAAAAATGTTTTTTCCCCCTCTTGTTTCTTTCTGGAAGGCCGAAGTTTGACCCTCCCCATCTCCTTCGACAAGAATGCAGAAGGCAAAATACAGAAGGCAAAACACAGAATGCAGAAATCAAAAACACAGAATGCCAAAATGCAGGCCTGAGGATGCAGAATGCAGAATGAAGAGTGCAGAATACAGAATGCAGAATGCAGGCTTGAGGCGGCAGAATGCAACCTACAGAATGAAGAATGGAGAATATAGAATGCAGAATACAGAATACAAAATGAGGAACGCAGAATACAGAATACAAAATGAAGAACGCAGAATGCAGAATGCAGGGCTGAGGATGCAGAATGCCGAAGATAGAAATGCCGAGCACAGAATGCAAAAACACAGAATGCAGAATGCCAAATGAAGCGTGCCGAATGTAAAATGCAGAATGCAGAATTGCAAGCCAGCTGAAAGGGACCTTGGAGGTCTTCTAGCCCATCCCCGTGCTTGAGAACAAAATAAAAGCTGGGGGGGGCATCTTTTTCCTCTCTTCCCCCTCGCGTGGTGGAAATCCTGCAAGCCACCCCATGCTCAGCAGGATTTGAAAGCGAGGCAGAGGGAACAAGGAAAGGAGGAAGGCCCCCAAATTAAGAGTGCAAATTTTTTCATTCACACTCTCTCGAATTAGGACTTAATTTGCAGGCCTAAGTAGGCAAGGGGACCGGAGATTTGGGGTGCTTGGCATGGAAAGGGGGATTCTGGGGTGCCCTGGCAGCTGAGCACAGGGACTTGGCTTTCCAAGGGATTGCAACTGTTTTTGTGGCCAGGGTCTCTTTCCACCGGGATGGGCTGGAATAACTGCGAGAATTTGCAGCTTAGGAGGGTTTAAATTTTGGGGTTAAAGAGGATTAAGCTGAGATTAAGCCAGGAAGAAACCGGCTAGGGATTTGGGGACTGGGATTGCAAATCCGAACCCCCACACTCCCAGCAAATCTGTTGGGCTCCAGGCTTAACCTGGAGTGAGATCTATCAAACCAGGATTGCAAAACAAACAAACAAACAAACCGGGGCGGCCACTAGGGGGCAGCCCAACAGCTAGAGTTTTTATTTGGTGCCCTCTGGTGGCTGCCCCGATTGCTGCAACCCTCAAAAATCTGCTTTTTTTTTGGCTTCTGATTCGTGCTGACCTGGGAAGAGTATTAAAAGAGCTTGTGAAATGCTTTTTTTTTAGTCCAAAGTTTTATTTTTTCCAGGAAATTTAAGTCTGAATTGAAGACAATTTCAGAAAGAAGATTGTTGCCCGCCCCCTTTAATTGCAGCCGTGTCAAAATTGTGGATTTGTGGACTCGCACATTTTCCCTGGGGAAAAAAAAAACAGAATAGAGAAAATGAACCCGGAAGTTCCACCTAGTGCTAGAGAAAGAGAGCGAGTCTATCTACACTATTCCTACCTCTATGTTATTGTTGCCCTACGTACTGTGCCTCTGCCCCTTCCCCTCTTGAATCTCGCGATATCTAAGCGTCTCCACGCGAGATATCCCTACCGGTAGTTTCAGGGTACAAAGAGCTAATAATGACAGACCTGTTTTCTGCTTCCGGCAGTGTTTTAGCCAAGCTGCAAAATTCAGAGTTTTCTGCCATTTTACCACTGATTTGTGTATTTAATCCTGTTTTGCCTCCTAAATTCACTCAGATAAGCCCCTGAGTGGAAGCCTCACTGATTTCCATGGGTGCAAGTTACATGTGTATCCACCCTCTAGGTCCAAAGCGTGCAAGATCTATTTTTAAAACTTTTATTTTATTTTTAAACAGTGCTTTTTTCAAAAAAAACCCCCGATTCTGCTGCACAATCTTTTGCCCAGCGCCCCAAATAACACCTTGTAATTAAAATGCCACAGTTGCAAACAGCAAATGCAAAATCCTTTGCAAGATTTTGTGCGTTACAGTCATAAAGCTACACCAAATGTTTGGTTTTCCCGACAAAGATGGCATCGAACCGGGGTTGAAACCAGGAAGAGTAGCAATGACTCTGCTGCTTTGCAGTTATTCCTCAACCTACGACTGCAATTGGCACCGTTTCCATTGCTAAGCAAGGCGGTTGTTAAATGAGTCACACCTAATTTGATGTTTTTGCTGCGGTTGTTAAGCAGATCCCTGCAGAATCGGGGTCGTTAAGCGGATCCGGCTTCCTGCTTGTGGATAGTCAACTGGAAAGGGGGATCATGTGATCCCGGGACGCTGCAACCGTTATAAATACATGATGCCAAACGCCCAAATGTTGATCATGTGACCGCAAGGAGGCCGCGACCGTCATAAGTGTGAGGAGTGCTCATAAGATACTTTTTTCCAGTCCTGTTCTAACTTGGGTCGGTAAACAGATGGACGTAAATTGAAGGACTATCTGTATTTCATCCAACTTGCATCTGGCTTCCGAAGAACGGAAGGATTTAGCAAATTGGAGATCTCCCAGTTTTTCTCAAACTTGGCCCACTTTAAGACATGTGGACTTCAACTCCCAGAATTCCCCCGCTGGGGGAATTCTGGGAGTTGAAGTCCACCTATCTTAGAGTGGGCCAAGTTCGAGAAACAACTGGGCTAGACCCCTCGGTTCCTGGACATTTGCAAAACGTGATTCCAAAAGAGATAAACATGCCTCGGTCCAAAGGTATAAAAAAATGTTGGCTGCCACTTCGATCTCGCTGGATCCAAACTCAAAAACCAGGTTCTTGGGATCTCCCTGCTGAAGGATCTCCTAAGTGGTCCGGAAACATAAGCCAGGGTGGGCTCAGTCTGGTTCGCCCCACTTTTCTGCGGGAAAATTTTCAGCATTTTTGAGCCTCCCGGCTGTGTCAAGTCTACCTTGTGGCCAAGCCACGATCCACAAGGAAGGAGACGCTTCTGGGTGGAGAACCCCCAAGATTTGCGGTGGGGATCCTTCTCAGAGGTGGGACGGGGGTCTGCAAAGATGCTCGGACGTCTACAAACGGAGCACGCCGAGGAAGGTGCCATGGGTGGAGATGTCGAAGGAGGCGTTGAACCGTGGGATGCGCAGACTCAGACGGTCCCCCTGGTGCAGTTGGAAAACCCCTAGAAGTAGGGGAAAAGGGGGGTTCAGACACAGGGACCCGCATTGAACAGAATCGCCAGTCCAGCTACGGATCACACCAATGTCCCCTATGGGCTGAGGACACGGGCCACGAGATCAGGAGAAAACTATAGGGCGGGTTGGTCTAGATGACCTACAAGGTCCCTTCCAACTCTGTTATTCTATTCTATTCTATTCTATTCTATTCTATTCTATTCTATTCTATTCTATTCTATTCTATTTCCTATTCTATTCCATTTCCTATTCTGTTCCAACTCTGTTATTCTATTCTATTCTATTCTATTCTATTCTATTCTATTCTAAAAACGGGAGGCTGGCTGAGGAATTCTGGGAGTTGAAGTCCACAAGTCATCAAAGGGCCAAGTTTGAAAACCCCTGGTATATTACATCGACTGCCTTCCCACTATCAACTAAGAAAATTTTCCAATTAAAACAAAAAACAAAAATGCAATGAAGGTAGTCTCTATACCTTTGTTATGAAACTCTTGCGGGCTGGGGAATTCTGGGAGTTGAAGTCCACCAGTCTTAAAGGGCCAGAGGTCGCAAAAAAACAACAACCCCAACAACCCTGGTTTAGACGTTCCAGACAGGTGAATGACGACTCACCTCCGCTGTAGCAGCTGTTATAAGCCTTCTCCACCTTGGGCGGCATACTCTGCACGCAGCGGAAGAGGATCTGGTCCGGCTTGCCCAGGGCCACTCGCCGTAGGACCTGCCCCATGGTAAAAGTGGGGTCATGGAACAGCACCTAAGAAGGAGGGGAGGAAGAGGGTAGACGTGACCTTATCTCTGGGGTCTTCAAACTTGGCCCTTTGATGACTTGTGGACTTCAACTCCCAGAATTCCTCAGCCAGCGTGAGGGAACTGACCCTTTGATGACTTGTGGACTTCAACTCCCAGAATCCCTCAGCCAGCGTGCCTGGCTGAGGAATTCTGGGAGTTGAAGTCCACAAGCAGGGGTCTTCCATCTTGGCCCTTTGATGACTTGTGGACTTCAACTCCCAGAATCCCTCAGCCAGCATGCCTGGCTGAGGAATTCTGGGAGTTGAAGTCCACAAGTCATCAAAGGGCCAAGTTGGAAGACCCTGCCTTATCTGAACCTATTTAATAATAATAAATAAATAAATGTTGGAAGGGACCTTGGAGGTCATCTAGTCCAACCCCCCTCCTCAGGCAGGAAACCCTAGACCGTTTCAGACAGATTGGCTGTCCAGTCTCTTCTTAAAAACTACCGGGGGTTTCATTCCATTTACAAGTAGTCCTCTCGACTTACGACAATTCATTTAGTGGCTGAAGTTACACCGCTACTAAAAAAAAAAAATAAAGCATCTGACGATCGAGTTTTACACTTACGTTGCAGCATCCCGGTGTGATCACGTGATCAAAATCCATACCCTTGGCGACTGACTCGTATTTACGACGGCCGCAGCATCCCAGAGGGATCATGCGATCCCCTTTTTGCGACCTTCAAAGTCAACGGGGAAGCCAGGTTGACTTAACAACCGTGTGTCTCATTTAATGATGTGTGTCTGGCGCACACACAACGATGGAGAACAACACAAGCGGTGCAGGGGTCCCCCGTCCAGAATCTAACCGGCTCCAGCCCTGCTTAGCTTTTTGACATCATTCAAAGTCAGCTCAGCAATCCTTGACTTACGACCACAATTGGGATTGCTAACTTATGGGGCCGTTAAGTGGCCGCTCCTGATTTTGTGACAGTTTTGCCGCTGTTGTTAAGCTGCTCCAACTCAACGTGAAATCCAATCGTGCAAACACTCTCATTAAGCGAATCCTTATACTGTGGTCGTTAAATGAATCATTGGGTCGTTAAGTGAATCTGGATTCTCCCCCCTATCAACTTTCCTCGTTGGAAACCCCCCAGGAAGGTTGTAAATGGCCATCTGGGACGCTGCAACCTTCATTAAATAGAATAATAATAATAAAAACCTCTGGTTGTTAAATGAATCCTTAGAGTTGTTAAATGAATCATTAGGTCGTTAAGTGAAATGCTGATTTTTCTTGTCGGAAGCCCTGCAGGAAATTTGCAAAAAGCGGTCACACGGCCCTGGGACGGTGCAAACATCATAAATATACATGGCAGTGGACAAGAATTTTGAAAATGGGATGCTTGGGTGGATGTAAATGCGAGGACAGATCCCGTCCTAACTTCAAATGGTCATTAAATGAATCGCCGTAAGTCGAGGACTGCCCTGTCATACAATCCTGCCAGCCACCAAGCGACATTTCCAAGGTAAAATTGGTCAAAACATTCAGCCCTGCCCCAGAGATCCCTCTTAGCAAAACAACAACAGATTAAAGAGATTTAAATTCGGCGTATTTTTGCCCTTCGTGTTCACAATTTATAATTCTTAAATTTATAAATTTATAATTTGTTGATGCCCGAAGCCACAACGGGACCTTCTCTGAAGCTGAAACCTGGATAGCTTTGCATTTATTTATTTTTTTCCATAAAAATGACTTTTTTCAAAAACATTATTTCATTTATCGTGGCCTGGATAATTTCAATTTTTTTTCTTTCTTTTTTTTGGAGGGGGGGGTGTCCTTCCACCCTTCTGTAGCAGCCGATGCCTTTGGGCTCAGGTAAAAATCTTCCTTCTTAGTAAAAAGGAATTAAGAATTTAGGAACCGGGCTGGTCTTAAAAGGCGGTCCCCGACTTACGACCATGCTGAGCCCAAAATTTCGGTCGCTGAGCGAGACATGGTTGTTAAGGGAGTTTTGCCCCCTTTGACGACTTTTGTGACCGCCGTTGAATGCTCGAACACTGGAAGATTTTAACAAGAGACTGGACCGCCCTTTGTCTGAAATGGAATAGGGCTTCCTGCCTGAGCAGGGGGTTGGACTAGATGACCTCCAAGGTCCCTTCCGAGTCTACTATTCTGTTATTCTTTTTTCCTTCCTTCCTTCCTTCCTTCCTTCCTTCCTTCCTTCCTTCCTTCCTTCCTTCCTCTCTCCCTCCCTTTCCTTCTCATCTTCCTCTCTCCTCGCTCCCTTCCTCCCTCCCTTCCTCCCTCCCTCCCTCCCTTCCTTCCTCCCTCCCTTCTCATCTTCCTCTCCCCTCCCTCCCTCCCTCCCTCCCTCCCTCCCTCCCTCCCTTCCTTCCTTCCTTCCTTCTCATCTTCTTCCCTCCCTTCCTCCCTCCCTCCCTCCCTTCCTTCCTCCCTTCCTTCTCATCTTCCTCCCTCCCTCCCTCGTCTGCCTCTCGGGGTGAGGTGGGGTCTCTCACCTGGCTGTAGACGAAGTAGAGCCCGGTGTGCCGGACCACCACGTCTTGCCCGCTGGGCTCCAGGGCTCGGCCTTGATGCAGGAAAGGGGACCACCAGATCTCCGTGGCGTCTCCTTCCTCTGCAGGGGACGGGGAGGAAACAGGGCTCAAATTGGAACACACACACACACACACACACACACACACACACACCACCTGCCCCTGAGCCCTGCCAGCCTTTGCCCTGGGTCTTCAGCAGGGCAGGCAGCAGTTCAACAGGGGAGGCTGGGCCCTGAGCACTTCCATCGGGCCGTTTCCCCACCGAAACATTTTGTTTTGTTCCGTCCGTTTATCCATCCATCTTCTTCTCTCTCCCTCCCACCCCGGGAGCCAAAGACTAGCTCATAAACATTACAGCCACAATCTTTCAAAATTACATTTCTGGGGGGGGGGATGTCAGCAGTTTCCCCCCCCCCCCTTAATTAAGACAGAGGGCGGTGCCAGGCAGAAGATCAAGGCTTGCCCAGTGGGAGATCAGCCCCAACTGCGGATCCTTGGGCGAGGGTGCCAGGCAGAAGGAAATGGGCAAGTCCGGTAAAGAGGCAGGGTGGGGTTTTCCCAGCCTAGATTGGAGGAGGAGGAGGAGGGGGGGGAGGAAGAGAGGGAGGACTCTCTGAGCTGGCTGCTTTCCTTGCAGACGTTTCATGACCCAACTAGGGAACATTATCAGTGCTAGAAGGGAGGAGGAGGAGGAGGAGGAAGATTGCGGGGTCCTTGGTGCTCTCTGAGCTTGGTGGCTTTCTTGCAGACGTTTCATCACCCAACTAGGAAACATCATCAGTGCTAGAAGGAAGGAAGGAAGGAAGGAAGGAAGGAAGGAAGGAAGGAAGGAAGGAAGGAAGGAAGGAAGGAAGGAAGGAAGGACAGACCCCGGGATCCTTGGTGCTCTCTGAGCTTGGTGGCTTGCTTGCAGACGTTTCATGACCCAACTAGGGAACATCATCAATGCTAGAAGGGAGGAGGAGGAGGAGGAGGAGGAGAATTGTGGGGTCCTTGGTGCTCTCTGAGCTTGGTGGCTTTCTTGCAGACGTTTCATGACCCAACTAGGTTACATCATGAGTAAAAAAGAGAGTGGGGTTTGCAGAGAGGAGGAGGAAGGGGAGGAGGAGGAGGACTGTGGGCTTCTTGGTGGTCTCCTTGCAGACGTTTCATGACCCAACTAGGGAACCTCATCAGTGCTAGAAGGGAGAAGGGTTTGCAGGGAGGAGGAGGAGAAGAAGGAGGAGGAGGAGGAAGAGAAATGGTATAAGGTTTTCTGCCTGAGCGGGGGGTTGGACTAGAAGACCTCCAAGGTCCCTTCCAACTCAGCCATTCTCTTATTCTATTCTTCTTTGAGCTTGATGGTTTTCTTAAGAGACGTTTTGTAACCGGACTAAGGAACATCATCCGTGCTAGAAGGGAGGCGAGTTTGCAGAGAGGAGGAGAAGGAGAATAAGGAGGAGGAGGACTGTGGGGTCCTTGGTGCTCTCTGAGCTTGGTGGTTTCCTTGCAGACGTTTCATGACCCAACTAGGGAACATCATCAGTGCTAGAAGGGAGGGGGGTTTTCTGAAGTGGGGAAGGAAGAGGAGGAAGGTGCCTTGAAGGGATGATCAGAGGGCTCCAGCAAGGGGGGGGATTTCAAGCCCCCCCCTTTGAACTGAGTCCCCAAAGCCCAGATGCCCCCCCTAAACCCAAGCCACCACCCCCCAGGCAGCCATTATCCACCCCAAACAGTCCACAGTTCACCAGTCTCCTTGATCTGCCTTCCAACATGGCTGCCTGGAGGGGGCAGGGGAGCAGACCTGGGAAGTGCCCCCCCCCTCATGGCCCCCAATGAAGATCCAGAATTACCCAGTGCGAAGCTCTTTGCAATTTTGCAAGTTTTGCATTTTACTTACAAATATCCAAGCCGGGCCACTCTGCCATTTAACTTTTTTTTTTTCCCCCAACTTGGGTTTATCTGCTGCAAAGCACACTTTTAATCCAGGCAGGTGTATTGCAATTGCAATTGTAATTATCATTGTAATTGCAATTGTAATTTGTAATTTTTAATCCAGGCAGGTGTATTACAATTGTAATTGCAATTGCAATTGCAATTGTAATTTGAATTATAATTGGTCTGAGTGGCCCCCTGTCTTTTGATTACTGCACTGAAATGGAGCTTAATTGCTTTGTGATGGGAGAAATGATGATTTTACTTCATTTAATTCTGTGTGTTTCCCCCCCCTCCACCCCCCAAAGTCACATGCAAGTGAAATGAAGGGCCTGGTCAATTTAACAAATAATAATATTTTATTCCTAAGTTAACAAAATCTGCTACTCACCGTTGTTGGAATGACGAGCAGGGACCAAATGCAAGACGGAGTGTTTTTCTATGGAAATCAAACACAAATTGGGAAATAATGGGGATAGAGAGGTATATAGCTGACACGTTAACAATTTAGATTTAGTAGTTTAGTATTTAAAATTCCTTGGGAAACTAATATCGTTGTAATGTATTAATCAGCATTCCACTAGGGAGGACAGTATAGACCAGTGGTTCTCAACCTGTGGGTCGGGACCCCATTTGGGGTCGAACGACCATTTCACGGGGGTCGCCAAACAAGGCTGTCTGCCATTTTCCCCCCCTTTTCTTTGGCCACGCCCCTGGCACCCAGTGATGTATAAGTGGTTGGGGGTCACCACAACATGGGGAACTGTATTATGGGGTCACGGCATTAGAAAGGTTGAGAACCACTGGTATAGATGCTTTGCTTCTCCCTCTTTTAATGCACCTTTTTCCTTTTAAGGTTGGGTTCTGTTTTGGTTTAAATAGTTGGCTGTTCTGTATTTTAACTTTTTTTACAATAAAATACAAAAAGAGAAAAAATAATAATTAAAAAGCAAATGACGGGATTTAATTTGAAAGCATGAACGAGGCCCTCTGCGTGTGCTCAGGAACGCTCTCCTCTCCTTTTCGGCTGCTGTGAATGTTGTCAGCTTGAGCCCAGCACAGGAAATACCTCTTAAAAACCATAGGGCTTCCTGCCTGAGCAGGGGGTGGGACTAGATGACCTCTAAGGTCCCTTCCAACTTTATTATTATTATTGTTATTATGGATCATCGCACAGTCAGCCAGATGTTCAGACTGGATTTGGCATTTTGTCTACCTATCGAGTCCTTACCCAGGACCTGGGATAGGCAGATGTGGATGTTTGATGGTATTACAGGTATAGTCGCAGGATGGAAACAGTTCCTAGTAAGGCCGCCTTTTGCAATTGACTAATAGCGAATTTGTCAATGCCGATGATGGTGTTCAAGTGGTGCTCCAGTTGTTTTGGGATTGCACCCAAGGAGCCTATCACTATTGGTACTGCCCTTGCTTGCCTTTGCCACAGTCTTTCTATTTCTATTTGTAGGTCTTTGTATTTTGTTATCTTCTCCAGTTCATTCTCATCTATTCTGCTGTCTCCAAGTCCCTTCCAACATTATTATTATTATTATTATTATTTGTTATTATTGTTATTATTATTATTATATTTCTCAAATTGGTTACTTGAAGCAAATCCATTGCGGATTCTTCCTGATCGAGCTCTTTTTTGAACCCAGGTGAGTGTTGAATCAATTCCCAGAATTCCCCAGGGCTTAACCGGAATTCAGCATAGATCAGAGAAGAAGAAATAGAATAGAATAGAGCTAGAAGGAACCTTGGAGGTCTTCTAGTCCAGCCCCCTGCTCAAGCAGGAGAAAATGAGGCTGGACTATTTCATTTTTTTAATTGGGTAACTTGCTTAATAGACGGTGGGAATGCGGTGGAAATAATATACCTTGACTTCAGCAAAGTGGAAAAAAATAACCCACGGCAAGCTAAGTGAATAAGCCAGTTAAATGTGGGCTTGGCAAACTGATTTGTATTTACGACAGTCGCAGCCTCCCCACAGTCACGTGATCAAAATTCGGACGCTTGGCAAACTGACTCATGTTTACGACGGTCGCAGCGTCCCATGGTCACATGATCAAAATTCGGATGCTTGGCAAACTGACTCATATTTACGACGGTCGCAGCGTCCCACGGTCACGTGATCAAAATTCGGATGCTTGGCAATGGACTCGTATTTACGACGGTCGCAGTGACCCCCGGGGTCCTATGAACTTTCGTAAAATGGGGGAAAACTCACTTCACGGTCTCGCGTAGCGTAAATTAACATAGATTTTGAGCTCAGTTGTGGTCGTCAGTCAAGGAACTGACGAACTGTTCGAAGACTGACATGCCGGCTGGGGGATTCTGGGAGTTGACGTCCACCCACTTTTAATTTGCCAAGAATCACGATTCATTATACACCTGAGAAAAGTTCATTTTTGCAAGTCAGAAATGAATTTCCTGGCTTGAAAAACATGCCAGCGACTAATGGAGCTAAGTCCAGCTGGGCCGGCCTGCCGTGTTTGGCTTTTGCTATAATTAGGCCAGATCACCAACATGCTGGTTTATTTTGCTAAAAAAAAAAACAGTCTTTTCCTAAGAAAATAATAACGACGCAACCCACAGCAGACTCTTCCAGCCACCGGCGAGAAATTAAAAGTCTGCAAAATTGGGAAAACCTGCCCAAATTTGTGCTAAACAAAATTTACGCTTCTTGTTTGGTGCGTTTGAGAAGCGGTGCCGGTATCGGATGCCCTGCGGTTGAACCCACCCCCCTGTTTTTCACGGTCCTTTGTTGAACGTCACAACTCCGGACACACAAAAAGGACACTGCGTCCTTGTCTTTTTCTATCACTTTCACTTCCCCTCTTTCCACCCTGCAGTTTTGGCTCCTGAGTTCAATAGGCCGGGCTGCACAATTTAAGAGCTGCTTGGACGCTTCCCCGCCAGCGGCATTCACAAAATTGTAGCTTGGCGAGAGTGTGCGATTCTGGGTGGAAGTTACAGGTTGGGGTTCCTGATTGGAATGATTTGGGGGGACCAAACAGAGGTGGCTCCCCTGGTGCCAAAGTCAGGGCTGGCATCGACCCAGCGTCCTTCTGCAAGACCGTTCAGAACAGGATAACAACATAACCACAGAATAACAGAATAACCACAGAATAACAGAATAACCACAGAATAACAACATAACAAAAATAACAGAATAACCACAGAATAACAACATAACCACAGAATAACAACATAACAACAGAATAACACAATAATAACAGAATAATCACAGAATAAGAACAGAATAACAGAATAAGAATAGAATAACAGAATAAGAACAGAATAACAGAATAACAACAGAATAAGAACAGAATAAGAACAGAATAAGAACAGAGTAACAGAATAAGAACAGAGTAACAGAATAAGAACAGAATAACACAATAAGAACAGAATAACAACATAACAACAGAATAACAACATAAGAGAATAAGAACAGAACAGAATAAGAACAGAATAACAGAATAACAGAATAACAACAGAATAACAGAATAACCACAGAATAAGAACAGAATAACCGAATAAGAACAGAATAACCGAATAAGAACAGAATAACAACATAACAACAGAATAACAGAATAACCACAGAGTAAGAATAACAGAATAAGAACAGAATAAGAACAGAATAACCGAATAAGAACAGAATAACAACATAACAGAATAACAGAATAAGAACAGAATAAGAACAGAATAACTGAATAAGAACAGAATAACAACATAACAACAGAATAACCACAGAATAAGAACAGAATAACCGAATAACCACAGAATAAGAACATAACAACAGAATAACAGAATAATAACAGAATAATAGAATAAGCACAGAATAACAGAAGGGACCTTGGAGGTCTTCTAGTCCAACCCCCAACTCAAGCAGGAAACGCTATACCATTTCAGACAAGTGGCTGTCCAGTCTCTTCTTAAAAACCTCCAGTGCTGGAGCACCAACAACTTCTGGTGGCAAGCTGTTCCACTGGTTAATTGTCCTCACTGTTTGCTTTTATTACATTATAAACTGTCCAGAGTCGTCCAGGCTCTGTGGTTTGATAATAGAATCAAATAAAATAGCATCACCTAATTAATGAAAAGAGGGACTGGGGGGGGAGGATATGATAGTGCTCTTCCAATATTTGAGGGGCTGCCCCACAGAAGGGGGGAGGGTGTCCGCCTATTCTCCAAAGCCACCAGAAGACAGGACAAGAAGCAACGGATGGAAACTCATCAGGCAGAGAAGCAACCTGGAATTAAGGAGAAACTTCCTGACAGCGAGGACAATTAACTCGTGGAACAGCTCGCCACCAGAAGTTGTGAATGCTCCATCGCTGGAGGTTTTTCAAAGAAGAGACTGGACAGCCATTTGTCTGAAAGGGTTCAGGGCAGGAGTCTCCAAATCTGACAACTTTAAGACTTGTGGACTTCAACTCCCAGAATTCCCAGCCAGAATTCTGGGAGTTGAAGTCCACAAGTCCTAAAGTGGCCAGGTTTGGTCTAGGGGGTCTCCTGCTTGAGCAGGGGGTTGGACTAGAGGACCTCCAAGTTCCCTTCCAACTCTGTTATTCTGTCATTTGACAATTGGGGGCCACCAGGGAGGGTGGCAAGACCCTGCCTGGGCTTAAAAAGGGGGATGGGTCGATAGACCTTTCTCAGATATGAAGAAAAGGGTGCCGGATCGAACCCACGGCACGTCTGGGGGCAGCCCCTGCCGTAAATAGGACCCCCCCTCCTCACATTCCCCCCCTCTCTAGCAATAGAGAGGGCTGAGTTACCTTTCCTCTTTTCAACATTGGTGCAAATTACGCTCTACTCACTGCGTTGACGCGCAAACGGGTCCTGCGGTGTCTTCCTCACATCCCTGGTCCGTCTCGTCCTCAGCACGGGGGGCGCCGGACCCTCGACAGCCCTCTGAAACCGGAACAGTGACCTCAGTCCCACCTATTGCCAGGTGAGCTCAAAAAGAAGCGGAGGGGGGGGCTTATGGGTAGGAAGAGCAAAGCATTCTGGGAGGAAGACGGTGCCAGGATTGGAGGGAGGGGGGGTGTCAGGGGAACCCTTGATTGACACTTGGGTGCGTTTCGAGGGAATTGATTGGCGAATTCGATGTCGTTTCCGCTTTGGGGGGGGTGGACTTCCATTCCCAGAATTCCCCAGCTCCCAGCACTGAAAAAACAATGGGGCAGGCGGTCCTCGACGTACGACGGTTAATTTAGTGACCGTTCGAAGTTGGCCACGGTCCTGAAAAAAAAGGACCGGGGACTTTTTCTCACACTTACGACCGTTGGGGCAGTCCCCGCGGGTCACGGGTTCAAAATTCGGAGGCTTGGCCACCGTCTCGCACTTACGACGGTCGCCGTGTCTCCTGGGGTCACGTGATCAACCTCCTGGCGAGCCAAGTCAACGGGAGAGCCAGGATTAACTTAACCAGGGCAGCGATTAGCTTCACAGCGCTGGCCAAAGGTCGTAAAGGGAGGCAAAACACCCGTCTCGCTTAGCGACGGAAATGTTGGCCTCCGTTGTGGTCGTAAGTCGAGGACTAGGCTGTACTTGGTGGGGAGGAGCAGGGAGGGGGTCAAGAAGAGTTGGCCATTCTTTTGAGGAAGTGTGTAATTTCAGGCCCTTGAGGAAAAAAAAGAGAAATTTTGCACCTGGGGACTGATCAGAAACTGCTTCCTTCCCTTCTGATTTCAGAGGAAATCTGATCTTTTCCCCCCACCACTAAAGCTGCAGAAGAGAAAGTTCAAAAGAAGGGGAGAAGGAAGGAGAGAAGTGGCTGGCTTGGCCACCTGCCAGCACACCTGGGCACCCACGCCACACCTGTCCCGGCTGGCCCTCTGGAGAGAGAGCAAAATTGCTGCCTGAAATATCGAAAGTAGCTTCCATATAAGAACAGAGAATATAGAATAGAGAATATAGGATACAGGATACAGGATACAGAATATAGGATATAGAACAGAATAGAATATAGAATATAGAATAGAATGGAATAGAATGGAACAGAACGGAATAGAACAGAATAGAATAGAATAGAATAGAATAGAATAGAATAGAATAGAATAGAATAGTAGAATATAGAATATAGACTAGACTAGACTAAACTAGACTAGACTAGAATAGAGTTGGAAGGGAACCTTGGAGGTCATCTAGTCCAACCCCTTGCCCAAGCAGGAAACCCTATACCATTTCAGACAAATGGCTGTCCAGTCTCTTCTTAAAAACTTCCAGTGTTGGAGAAGGGAGGGAGGGAGGGAGGGAGGGAGGGAGGGAGGGAAGGAAGGAAGGAAGGAAGGAAGGAAGGAAGGAAGGAAGGAAGGAAGGAAGGAAGGAAGAATAACAGAATAACAGACTCGGAAGGGACCTTGGAGGTCATCTAGTCCAACCCCCTGCTCAGGCAGGAAACCCTATACCCTTTCGGACAAATGGCTGTCCAGTCTCTTCTTAAAAACTTCCAGTGTTGGGGCATTCACCGCTTCTGGAGGCAGGTAGATCCACTGGTTAATTGTTCTCACTGTCAGGAAGTTTCTCCTTAGTTCTAGGTTGCTTCTCTCCTTGATGAGTTTCCATCTGTTGCTTCTTCTCCTGCCTTCAGGCACTCTGGAGAATAGCTTGACTCCCTCTTCTTTGGGGCAGCCCCTGAGATACTGGAACACTGCTATCCTGTCCCCCCTCGTCCTTCTCTTCATTAAACTAGACACACCGAATTCCAGCAGCCGTTCCTTATATGCTTTAGCCTCCAGCCCCCTGATCATTTTTGTTGTTTTCTTTGCTCATGTGCAGAGTGGGTTTTTCACAGTGGAAAATTTTTTTGCACTTTGCACCTTCCTATTTAGCCCATCATGAGCCCCCCCCCCCGTCTGTCTGACAGTAGGATTTTGTCCAGACCAGTCTCAGCGACAACATATATATCAGAGCCTAAGGAAATAATTCATTTTACCTCCACCATGCTCATAGAAGATGAATTTGGAGAGAGAGAGAAGGAGAGAGAAAGAGAGAGAAGATGAAGGAGAGAGAGAAAAAAAATGAATGAGAGAAGAGAGAAAAAAAGAAAGAGAGAGAAAGAGAAAATGAAGGAGAGAGAGAGAGAACAAAAAGAGAGAAAATGAAGGAGAGAAAAGAGAGAGAGAGAGAAAGAAAATGAAGGAGAGAGAGAGAATGAATGAGAGAGAGAGAAAAGAAAGAAAGAGAAAATGGAGAGAGAAAGAGAGAGAGAGAGAAAATGAAGGAGAGAGAAAAATGGAGAGAGAAAAAATGAAGGAGAGAGAGAGAAAAAAGAGAGAGAGAAAATGAAAGAGAGAAAAAAGAGAAAGAGAAAGAGAAAATGAAGGAAAGAGAAAATGAATGAGAGAGAAAAGAGAGAGAGAGAGAGAAAGAAAATGGAGAGAGAGAGAGAGAAAGACTGCCAAATCCCCAAATCAAGAAACGAAGAGAAAAATTGAGCAAAAATTTCCTTTTACTTTTAAGGAAGAAAGAAGAAAGAAGAAAGAAAGAAAGAAAGAAAGAAAGAAAGAAAGAAAGAAAGAAAGAAAGAAAGAAAGAAAGAAAGAAAGGAACGAAGGAAGGAAGGAAGAAAGAAAGAAAGAAGGAAGGAAGGAAGGAAGGAAGGAAGGAAGGAAGGAAGGAAGGAAGAAAAAAGAAAAAAAAGAAAGGAATGGGAAATTAATCCTCAGAAGAAACTCATCCAAAGGTTCTCAGACTCTGCAAAAAAACAGCTGGAGAAGAAGTCCACAACTTTTTTCCACTTCAGACCCTTCCCCAAAGGGTTCCCCCTTCCCCATCCCAAAAAAATGCCTCCCACCCACCCACTTGCCCCCCCCTTCCCATCTCTCCATCCCAAATTTCCGGGAAATGGGGATTAAGCTAACTAAGCCAGGATAGCTGGGCTGCCCAGGCGGAAAAAAAAACAGCTCTAGTCCCGACCAGCTTCCAGAACCCTTTTTACGCCAGACAGCCGGCTCAAAGACTTCTCCTGCCTGCTGGATTCCAACTCCCATCTTTTCCCCGGCTGGCTGGGGACGATGGGAGGGCTTGCCAACATCCCATTCTCTGCTGGGGCCGGAGCGGTGGTGCCTTATGGATCTGCTGTGCCCATTTCCCTCTGGCGTTGGGAATCCCCTCCAGAATGGCACCAAGGGCGTGGGGTGGGTGGGTGGGTGGGTGTCAGGAGCCCCCCCCAAGGGCCGAGGGGCCCAACTTGCCCTCCACGAAGCCCCCTCCTCTCCTACCTGCCGTGAATCCGGGGCGTCCCGGTCTTCGGGGGTCCCGGATGCCTGGCACATCCCTTCCCTCCGTAGGGCGGCCAGGTCTTCTCCCAAATTTTCCAGGCGGGCTTGGATGCTGAAGAGCATGAAGAGGCAGGCCAGCAGGCCCACTGCCAGGACCCCCACAATCGCCCGGGGGGCTGGGGGGCACTGCCTCAACCCCAAAGAATCCAGCTTGGGGTAGGGGCTGAAGGCCCCCCTCCAAATCTTCACAGCCATCCTTCTTCCCGGCTTCTTCCCGGATGGAGTCTTCTCTTGGGGGGCAGACCCCAAACCCGGGACCCCTGCAATCCTCAAAAGGGGGAGGGCGGGCCCGGGGCTCCCGAGCCCCCCCACATTTGTCCCCCAGAAATTTCTAGCCTGGCACCCACAGGCTTGCTTTGCGGGGGTGCCCGGCTCTGTCGCCGATCCAGGAGAGTTGGCAGGGCAGTGGTCCCCAGAGGACTCGGGACCCCCAGACATGGCCGGTCCTTGCCCCCCACCCACCCACCTACACACACACACCCACACACACACCCCAAAATCACCACATGGCAGAAGAAGGCAGCTGCAAACTCCAGCTCCCAGATGCACGCTGGAGAGCGGCTTGTGGATCCCTGTGCCCACTGCGGCCGCTTGCAAGGGGAAGGGGCCTCACCAGTCCACCCACCCACCCACCCACCACCAGGCCTCCCCCTCCTCAGCTTCCTGGCCCGGCTTTCCCTGGCGGAGAACGGCTGAACCGGTGCCCAAGCCAGCCACCGCTGATTGAGCAAGGAATTCAGGAAGCTGGCCAGGAGCTGTGGAGGCCGGGTGTGCCCGCCCCGTCTGGAGAGCAGCCAACGGCCAAGGGGTGGCCCTTGGCTGCCGCATCCTGGCGTGGCACCCTCGGAGCTTGGCAAAGGCTTGGCTGGTTGACCCAGGCCAAGCCGCTTCCCGGCACCCAGCCGTTGGGATCAGCTCATCCCAGAAAACCAGATTCCCAGGGCCGGTGCCAAGGGCTTGTTATGCCCTTTCCCAGGGGCCTCGGCTTCCGAGAAGCAAATCGGCCGGGAGGGGGGGTGTCTGACCGCTGCCCCCCCTCTCGAGGGGATGTTTGGGAAGCCAACGTGGAGCCGGTTTGGGGGCAAGCAGAGGGGGCTGGCCATGGGGTGGGTTAACGGAGCAACTGAGTTGGACAGGATCTGGGAGGTCTTCTAGTCCAGCCCCCGACTGAAGCAGGAGACCCCCATACCATTTGAGACAAGGGGCAGTCCGGTCTCTTCTTAAAAAGCGGATGGAGCGCCCACAATTTCTGGTGGCCAGCTGTTCCACTGGTTAATAGTCCTCACTGTTAGGAAGTTTCTCCTTAGTTCCAGGTTGCTTCTCTCCTTGATGAGTTTCCATCCGTTGTTTCTTGTCCTGCCTTTGGGCGCTTTGGAGAATAGCTTGACTCCCTCTTCTTTGGGGCAGCCCCCCTAATATTGGAAGACTGCTATCCTGTCCCCCCTCGTCCTTGTCATTAAATGGGACATCCCCAATTCCAGCAGCCTTTCCTTGTATGTTTTAGCCTCCAGTCCCCTGATCATCTTTGTTGCTCTTCTCTGCACTCTTTCCAGAGTCTCAGCATCTTTTTTACATCGTGGTGACCAAAACTGGATGCCGTATTCCAAGTGTGGCCTTACTAAGGCCTTGTAAAGTGGTATTAACCCTTCACGTGATCTTGATTCTGTCCCTCTGTTAATGCAGCCTAACACTGGGTTGGCTTTTTTGGCTGCTGCAGCACACAGTTGGCTCCTATTTAAAGGATTGTTTACTAGGACTCCGAGATCCCTCTCACAGTTGCTAATATTGAGCCAGGTACTACCTATCCCATCCCTGTGCGTTTGGTTTTTCTTGCCTAAGTATAAAACCTTACTTTTTTTTCTACATTGAATTTCATTTAGTTAGATCGGGCCCTGGGTTCAAGTGGTGGATGGGCTGGCGAAACGGGGACACCCCCCCCCACCCATCCTGAATTCCCGGGAATTTTATCCTGCTCACACAGGCGTGGCACTAGCTGGGAACGATGGGCATTGTGGACCCGCTCTTCTCATGGCAGGGGGTAGCTACCCCTCTCCTGCTCCGAGCTGCAAGGGAAAAGTGAGAAGAAGCCTGTTTAACAACGACAGCAAATCCTGTTCCTCATTTGCACAAACCGCTTCTTTTTCATTTCGACTGACAGCCACAACGGAGCGTGAAACTTTCCGTCGGTAAGCGAGGCAGTGGTGAAGTGAGGTTCGCCTCGTTTCACGACCGTTCTCGCCCCGGTTGTTAAGTGAATCACTGCGGTTGTTAAGTTAGGAAGGCGGTCGTTAAATGAATCCAGAAGTTTGCAAGAGGGGATGATGTGACCCTGGGAGTGGGGGGGGGACACGCCGCGACCGTCGTAAATGCGAGTCGGCTGCCCAGCGTCTCGAATTTCGACCAGGGGACCATGGAAACGATGGAACGGTCATGTGAAAAGAAGGGTCCTACGTCGCCGTTGTAACTTTGAACGGTCACTAAATGAGGCGTCGTAAGACGAGGACTACCGGCCTTCCGTTTCGGAAGAGCGGAAACCTCCGGATTTGAGGCGGACGAGTTCCGGGGCCAGGAAGCGCAACCGACGGTTGGCCAAGAGATGGGTTATTGCGGTGTTTCTTTTATCGATCGGATAAAAGCCACGGGTGGAATTGCCCCCTTCTTGGGGACAAGGGACGTTGACCGGCGGCAGGGGCTAGGAAATACGGGGCGTGCTTTGAAAGAAGCGGTTGGAAGAAGTTTTGTTGGACTATAGCAATACAGATATAGATATCCAGCGTGCAAACAGGGAAGTTTGGGACCGGATGGAAAAGTCCCTGGTTGTGCTCAAAAGCAAAATGATTCGCTGGACATTTTTCAGTAGCTCGGTGGAGAAGCGGTTTCTGTGGCTTCCCCCCCCCCTGTTCAAGGAGACCCCCCCCCCAAGGGAGGCCGCTTGAACCCGGGCCCGACAGCCAACAGCCACGTTGGCCAGGGACCGTGGGACCTGGATTGCTCACCCGTCTTGCAGGGAGGGGCGGAGTTGCCCTAAATAACGTAGTCTGGAGGACAGAGTGGTTTTTCTTTCTTTCTTTCTTTCTTTCTTTCTTTCTTTCTTTCTTTCTTTCTTTCTTTCTTTCTTTCTTTCTTTCTGTCTCTCTCGCTCTCTCTCTCTCTTTCTCTCTTTTCTTTTTTCTTTTCTTTTCTTTCCTTCCTGAGGACAAAGTGGTGGTTCTTTTTCTTTCTTTTTTTTCTTTCTTTCTCTCTCTTTCTCTCTTTTCTTTTCTTTCCTTCCTTCCTGAGGACAAAGTGGTGGTTCTTTCTCTTTCTTTCTTTCTTTTTCTTTCTTTCTCTCTCTTTCTCTCTTTTCTTTCCTTCCTTCCTGAGGACAAAGTGGTCCTTTCTTTCTTTCTTTCTTTCTTTCTTTCTTTTTCTTTCTTTCTCTTTTCTTTTCTTTTCTTTCCTTCCTTCCTGAGGACAAAGTGGTCCTTTCTTTCTTTCTTTCTTTCTTTCTTTTTCTTTCTTTCTCTTTTCTTTTCTTTTCTTTCCTTCCTTCCTGAGGACAAAGTGGTGGTTCTTTCTCTTTCTTTCTTTCTTTCTTTCTTTCTTTCTTTTTCTTTCTTTCTTTCTTTCTTTCTTTCCTTCTCTCTCTCTCTTTCTCTCTTTTTTTCTTTCCTTCCTTCCTGAGGACAAAGTGGTGATTCTTTCTTTCTCTTTCTTTTTTTTTCTTTCTCTCTTTCTTCCTTCCTTTCTCCCTCCTCCTTTTCTTTCTCTTTTTCTTTCTTCTTTCCTTTCTCCCTCCCTCCTTTCCTTTCTTTCCTTTCTTTCTTTCTTCCTTCCTTTCTCCCTCCCTCCCTCCCTTCCTCCCTTTCTTTCTTTCTTTGTTCCTCCCTCCCTCCCTCCCTTCCTTCCTTCCTTCCTTCCTCTTTCTTTTCTCTTTCTTTCTTTCTTTCTTTGTTTCTTTCTTTCTTTCTTCCCTTCCTTCCTTCCTTCCTCCCTCCCTCCCTTTCTTTTTTTCTTTCTTTTTTTCCTTTTCTTCCCTTCCATCCCTTCCCCTCCTGTTCTTCTTCTTCCTCACCAACAGCCCAGAAGATCGGCTCAAGATCCAGAAGGGCCTAACTATCAAAATGAAATTCAATGGTGAGTAAACCTCCTAAGATTTTATATTTGTGCAAGAAAAAACAAATGTACAGATACAGTATAGGCGGTACCTGGCTCAATAGTAGCAACTGTGAGAGGGACCTCGGAGTCCTAGTGGACAAACACTTAAATAGGAGCCAGCTGTGTGTTGCAGCTGCATTAACAGAGGGATAGAATCAAGATCACGTGAAGCATTAATATCACTTTACAAGGCCTTGGTAAGGCCACACTTGGAGTACTGCATCCAGTTTTGGTCACCACGATGTAAAGAAGATGCTGAGACTCTAGAAAGAGTGCAGAGAAGAGCAACAAAGATGATCAGGGGACTGGAGGCTAAAACATAGAAGGAACAGTTGCTGGAATTGGGAATGTCTAGTTTAATGAAGAGAAGGACGAGGGGGGACAGGATAGCAGCGTTCCAGTATCTCAGGGGCTGCCCCAAAGAAGAGGGAGTCAAGCCATTCTCCAAAGCGCCTGAAGGCAGGACAAGAAGCAACGGATGGAAACTCATCAAGGAGAGAAGCAACTTACAACTAAAGAGATTTTTTTTTTCAATTCAGTAAATAAATAATATCATTCCAGGAAACAACGAAAAACAAAGCATCAGGGCTGTGAGGATCTTGAAAAGATGGCTCCAGGTGCAGGTGAAATACGTGGGAAAGTGCTAAAATAGGATTTGCTCGGAGAGCGACTGTGTGACTTGCGCATGGCACGTGCAAAGGCCGGATCTGTGCCAGACGATTGTATGAATGCCGCCGTTGTTCTCCTAGACAAAGGAAACGGTCAGCTTCTGCATATAGGCCAGGTAGGATACACAACCTGATTAACTAATTCTGCTTTATCGTACGGCTACATAAACAGAAGCTTGCGAGTCTGAAGGTACAAACTTCCCATTGTTTTCTTTTATAAGCCGATAAGCAAAGGCTATAAAACAGACAGTGGGAGATTTGTACTTTCAGACTGGCAAGACTCAGAACGGAACAAAATGGCAGAGTTGGAAGGGACCTTGGAGGTCATCTAGTCCAACCCCCTGCTCAGGCAGGAAACCCTACACCATTTCAGACAAAAGGCTGTCCAGTCTCTTCTTAAAAACTTCCAGTGTTGGAGCATTCACCGCTTCTGGAGGCTGGTGGTTCCACGGGTTAATTGTTCTCACTGTCAGGAAGTTTCTCCTTAGTTCTAGGTTGCTTCTCTCCTTGATTCGTTTCCATCTGTTGCCTTTGGAGAATGTGGACCCCCTCTTCTTTGTGGCAGCCTCTCTCAAAAAAAAAAAAAAATATTGGAAAACTGCTATCGTTTCATCCCCTAGCCCAGTGGTTCTCAACCTTTTTAATGCCGCGACCCCCAACCGGTTGTAAGTCGAGGACTACTCAACCGGTCGTAAGTCGAGGACTACTCAACTGGTGCAGCACCCTTTGCAGAATGGGACTTTTGGCGGGCTCAGCAGGGCAGAGACAGCCTGGACAATTCCTAT